TGTAAAACCAAGCTTTCACAATAGATTTTTCTTCTTCACACTGTTCATTGAAATATTAAGCGAGGTCTGTTCTAGCATTTATCTCTAAAGTGCCATAGTGTTTATATTTCTTCATTTAAATAAAATCAGATTCATTCCTACTCTAATCTAGCACAGGTTTCCAAGAATTCTAATGATTGTGTGTCTCCATCTAGAGAAAGCTTTGTGCATCTAAATCCATTGTTCTGTGTCTAAGCTAACTCCCATTCTTAGCCATATGGTCCCCTCTGTTAATCCTTTTCACTACCCAATCCCTTTCCCACTATCTTCTTGGTGTCCTATCCCCTTTTCTTCTTTTTCTGTTTTTGTCCTAAGTAGCTTTGGACCAGAGCGGGGACTAACTCCTGAACTTCACTCATTCCCAGCCAGGACATCACAGGTGATATTTATTATTTCAACTTTGCCAACGGGCAGTCCACGTGGGACCATCCGTGCGATGAACACTATCGGAAGTTGGTGGTTCAAGAGCGGGGGAAACTGTCAGCTCCTGGGGCTGTTAAGAAGAAAGACAAGAAAAAGAAAAAGGAAAAGAAAGACAAGAAGGACAAAGAGGCCTCCAAAAGTCCCGTGGTGAGTCAGTGGCTGCTAGGTCTGAGAGAGGTGGGGCTGAAATCTGTGGGTATGGGGAATCTGTAGGTATGTATAATCTGGAGGTTAAAAACAACAATAATAAACTCTTTTTTTATTTGTTTGTTTTTGTTTTTTTGTCTTTTTGAGACAGGGTCTCACTATGGAATTCAGGCTGGCCTTGAGCTCACTTTGTAGCCAAGGCTGGTCTCGGAACTCACAGTGATCCTCCCGCCTCAGCCTCCTGAGTGCTGAGTGCTGAGATTACAGGCGTGTGCCACCACCCCTGGCTGGACAATAATAAATTCTTGATAGTGTATTGCTGGGTGTGGTGGCACACGCCTATAATCCCAGCACTCGGGATCGTTGCAATAGTGTATCATCTAACTTTTGCTTATTTTCTGGCAGTTGTTACCGTCTTGAAACGATTCCACTTCTTTCTTTATGGAGCATGTGTTACATAATCAGACTGGTAGAGCACCACTGCCAGTGTGGTGTTCCGCGGTAGCCTAAGCGATGGCATCTGCCGCTCTGGTGCAGGGACAGGCAGTTTGGGAGGCCGGTGAGCCTACATGAGCGAGTGTGCTTTCCCGTTGCTGGGTATCTGGGTGTCCTAGTGTGGGCTTGTTATTTGCTTAAAGCTGTGTGAGTTCAGTTGTCAGAACACCAGTACCTTCAAGATTCAAAAGAAAAGTGTTGGGCTTTATTTGCTCCCTGGCTTTTCTTTGTTACCAGTGCCCTGGTTTAGTGGTGGATAACTGGAATTTAACTGCAGCATGATCACGGTGGTGTCAAGTAGCTTTTGTATTGAATTCAGAGTGTCTTACAGCCATTGTTGTTTTATTTGTTACTTTAGCATCTCTGAACTTAGGAGGTGGAAGTTATTGCCCTCGTTTTAGGAGGAGCAGGTTGGGAGGCATAGGGAGTTGAGGCCCAGACTGGCCCACATGCAGGTTGTTGAAGGGACCAGGCCTTCTTCCCTTCACTCAGGCATGGGGCCGTGGGTACACTGAGGAAGGGAGGGCTGGAGGAACTCAGTTCTGTCAGGTGGGAAGCGCTGGGTATATTTTTTCAACTCTTTCAGTGGTCCAAGTTCTTTTGTCCCTTTTTTTGTTGTTTTTGGTTTATTTCTCACCAGAGCCTGCCTCTTCTCACTGAAGATTTTGTCCTTTTGTTGCAGCACTGGGGACTGAACCCAGGGCCTCACACATGCTCTACCACGGAACTACGCCCTCAGCCCTGTCTTCTCTCCTAAAATGTCAATTCTAGCTTTGAACAATTGTTGATTAATTTAGCCTTTTGATCATGTTCAAGCATTATTGATACTCCTATCTGCCTTCCCTACCTGTATATTACTCATGGGTCTGAGAAATAAGTCAATAAACCCATTTCTCTAGATAGAGGAAAGAGAGCAGGTAATTTCCAAATAAGTTGACTTTTCTAATACTGTATGTTTGAAAGGCAGAAAGGTGGCAGATGGGCTTTTCACTAACCAAGCTTATGTAAAGCGATACTCGGATACCTGGCAGGCTCTGGCATAGTCTGGCAGGGTCTGGCACGACTAAAGGTAGGAGAAGAAATTATGTGAGCGTTCTAGGGAGGGGACTTGGGTGCCACATTGGATTCCTGGAGACCCTTGATAAAAGAATTTCTTCTATGCTTTGGGGACATAGAGCAACTGGACAGCTCTGGGCCATCAGTCTAGTTCTTTGGGCTCAGGAAAACCACTTCAAGTTTGAGTATGTCTGGGGGACAGGCCTGAACGAGGTGGCAGCCTGGATTCAGGTGGGTTGGTGTCCTGGAGGTTGAGTGTTGGATGGATGGTGTGTAGTGTGAATATTTTCAGGAGCTGTTGGTTTTTCTAATGGCGTCTTCTATGACTGTTCAGGCATTTCCCAAGCAGTACCTCTGCTAGAAGACACTGGAATGAATTCCCTAGGCTCAGGCAGTGGGTGTGCTTCCCACTCTTTTCTCCCTTGTAGAAAATTTCTGGGAGACCTTGATAAAAGGGGGATTTTATAAAGGGAATGGATCACAGAATCTAAGAGTAGGTAGCACCTTAGGGATAACCTGGCTACTGATTTTTGGACTTTGGTTAATAGTAGAGCTCTGTCTTCAGATAGTTTCTCTGCAGAAGTACAGCTCATAAAGCGAGAAATGGAGCCACTGTGGTTGAAGCTGGGGATGTGGGCCTTGATGCCTCTTCTCTGTCACATGTCCATTTTATAGGGCTCCCCTCGGTACCGAGTCCCCTACGTACCACAGAGCAAGGTTTGCAGGATGTAGATCTGGCCCAGCTTCCTCTTTATAGAGAAGGTAACTGGAGCCTAGAAAACAAGTATTTTCTTTTGAAAAATTTTTTTTAATTGTATTTTTAAATTAAGTTTATTGGTATATTTTAGGTATATATAATGATCACATTCATCATAAGGAATTTGTACCTGTACATGATATAACTTGATTCTTTTTTTCCTTATTCCCCTACTTACCTTTCAACTCATCTTCCCCTCCTTATTTACAAAAGCTTAAGAAGACTGATTTTCAACCCAGAGGAAATTTTAGCTTTTCTTTCCTTTTCGATTTTTGCTTTAAGTGGAGGGTGGGTTTCTGCTAAGAACGGGCCTAGGGTTGAGGTAGTAGGTATAAATCCAAAGTGTTTTGTCTTCGTTTTCTCTGCATATTTATGTACCCATCTAGGAAACACAGCCTGAGCAGGGACTTCTGCCTTCTTCCTTTCTCCGTGGCCCATCCCCTCTCTCGGCACCTGGGCCTGCTGATCTGGACCTAGACCAAGAGATGGAGGCTAGAAGTGAGGGATCGTTTCAGAAAGGAAAGAGTCCGTGCACGTTGAGTGACACGCCTTGGCCTCCCGTGGGCGCCCTCCCTAGCAAGCTGCAGCCGCTGTCCAAAGGCCAAGCTTTCCGAACCCACCAGATCTTTGCTGATGTGGAGAAAATCTTAGGCAGGGCTCCAGCCCAATGCAGGACAGAAATAGCGGAGCAGCAGGGTTTGGAGATACCTCACAAGGCAAAGGAGAAAATCTACCTGGGGTCTTCAGACGCTGAAATAGAAGAGCTGGAAATGAGGACCAGACAGCAGAAGCTGGGAGCCCTGGGCCCTCAGAGCACTGGGCCTCTCCAGCATGGGCCAGACGTGTTAGAGAGCAGGGACCAGGCCCCTGTCCACTCTAAGCTCTCTGAAGCCAGCAAGGGCCCGCAGCTAAGAAGGGAGCAGCACGGCCACAGCATAGCCACACTGAGCTCCACTGGCCCTGGGGGGGACAAGGGTCTGAGCCCTCTTCCCTTGCCCTCCCCTGAGGAGGAGTCCTCCCTGTCCCCTGGTTCTGACCACATGCTCCCTACCAGGAAGAGTAAGCTGTTCTCAGCAGGTGGCAGCTCAGCTGAAGACCTGAGCTGGCAGGGAGTTCCTGGGGAAGGTGAGGGCCTGAGCAGGGGCAGGCGGAGGAGAGAGCCCGCAGGACTGTGGGTGGGACAAGTCTCCAAGCTTGTCAACAGGGAGCCCCCTCGCAGCTGCAGGGAAGCAGAGCCCGGTGCCCCAGTGGCTCTGAGGGCCACAGCTGAAGATCTACCGCAGGGACTCTTTGTAGTCCGATCTGACCCCCTGGCATCAGAATCAGCTCAGAATGCCTCTTCTGAGGCTCCCGCCAGCGAGAAGAGCCACCTCCCAGAGTCTTCAGACCCCTGCAACGAAGGTAGGAAGCCTCGTTTGTCTGGGGCTGACCTGAAGAGCTGCAGCAGTGGCGACAGCAACCAGGCCTTGCCTCTTGGCTCGCTAATCCCGGGTGAGGTGAACAGCTTCCCTGGGGGCCTACGGAGCCCCCGAGGATCTGTGCTGGCCGAGGATCAATCAGAGGTGGGGCCCAGAGATTCACACTCCCGCCCCTACCTGGCGTTCCAGTTGTCTCACGTGCAGAGCTCTGCTGAGGAGCAGTCAGAGAGTGAAGACTACTCTGAGGATCGGAGGTTCTACCAGCACATTCTGCAGATGGTCAAGATCTCCAGGAGGCTGGAGGGCCTGGGGCTGCCTGAGGGCATGCAAGAAATGCCATGCAAAGACATTGCTGACATGGTCTGTTGCATGGCTGCTGAGCCTTTCAGGATATCTAGTGAGGGTGAGCATGTGGCCATCAAAGCCATGGAGAGGGACCCGAGGTTTCTGTCTTGGGGGCCACAGATGCTGGAACACCCTCAGGAGGTGGCCCCTGCCCCTGCAGAACAGGAGGCTCCACAGCAAGCCTACTGCCAGCCAAGCAGCAGTCCCCTCAGGCAGGGGCTAGTCGAGCTGAGTTTCAACAGAAGTCTTGCTACAGAGCCAGGCGAGACACAGCTTCTCAACCAGGTAGGCTTCTTAGAGAGCGTGGCCTGAGGCTTCAGGCCAGGGTGAACTTGGCAGGGAGGGAGCAGGTGGAGTTCATGTCTTACCACAGTGTCCAGGTGTGCTTTCTTCTTACTTCCCCTCCCTTAGTAACTATTGATCCCTTTACCCAAGTGGCTGTCTTGTGGGATAACATGTATTTCAGGTCTCTTCCACCCCATCTCCTGCAAGATAGGTCCTTTTTGACTTCTTTTCCCCAGGTATAATTGTTAATTCGTGGGTGGTTCACATGCCTTGAAAGTGATCAGTCCTGAGAGTGGGCAGGGCGGTGTGGATGCTGGGGATCACACAGGATATAGACACCTTCTGAGGTTTGTGAAGCCTTTCCCATCAGCTAATTTTGGAGCAGGGTCCTTCCAAGTGAGCACCCTCCATCGAAGCTGTGAACCTGCCCCTTCTCGGAGGCTTGCAGAGCTGGAGACTTTACACTCTCACGAAGGACTGAGGCATGCAGCCTCCTTGTGCTGGTCAACGAGCTGTTTCCTCCTGGGTCCAGAACCAAATTGCTAAATTGTGTCATGCTTGTGCAGACCCTATTTGTGACTTCACTTCCTCTCCTACTGGGATTTACCGAAGGGCTGGGCTTGTCCTGTCATTCTAATCCTTTGTCCCTGTAAGAGTCACCATATTCTTCATCCAGAAGAAGTCAAGTTGGATCAGAGACCATGGAGATCAGTCTGAATTTCTCTGGCTGTTTTGCTCTGGCCCCAGCTGTGGCTTTACCCAGTTGTGCCCTCTGGTTCTTAATTGCTGACATGAGCTGGTTCTCTGTTAGCTTTAATAACTACTATAGTACTATAAATATCAGATAAGCTGCAGATTACCCTGAAAGTTTTAATTAGCCCAATGGCAGCAAGTTTATCTTCTCTGAAGGACAACGCCATGCACAGCCCCATGCTCAGAGTTAATGGCCATCTACAGAAGATGATCAGCTAGGGGCCAGGAATGTATAATTTCCCTGCTAACCACTGATTTAGTAAAGGCCTGGGAGAACAAAGGCCTCAGCATGCCTGTCTCCCTCCCTCAAGCCCCTAGCACGTTAGCAAATTAGCCACGTTAGGAGTCTGTAATTTTCCATAAATACAGTGTGGGAAGAATTTTGCTTGCTGATAGGCTGGGGCTGGTTGGAAGGGCTAAAGGCGGGAGGGGCAGGACCAATTTGCTCATGGTTCACTTAGAGAAGCTCTTTTTTATTTATTTTTTTCCTGCTACAGTTCTCTTGTTGGCTGTGTGGCTTCGGATAGGTGCTTGATCTCACCAACCGCCATTTATTCAAGTGGGGAGTGTGGGTAATGGCAGAGCCTGCCTCAGAGGGCTATCGTGAGAGTAGGATGAGACTTCACGTGTCAGTGGTCGTCAGGCATTTTTATGTATCAGCTCTTTTTCTCCCTAGCAGTCCAGATGACTGGGGATCTGCAGAGGCTCAGGATCTTTCTCACCTCTCCTTTTACCCGAGCTTCTGATGCCCTCTCTGTACACAAAGAGGCCCAGCTGGGATCACCCAGGACCCTGGCTCCTGAGCTGAGGCTGTGGCTGAGAAGGTGGCCAGTCTGAACTTCCTCAGCTGACCTCTTCTGGGTTCTTCTTCTTTAGTTCCTATGGGATTAGAGAGAAGCAAAACTTTTGCTTTCTTTTATACGTTTTAAGTTTGAGAAACAAAGAGCTCTTTTTAAACTGTCCCCAGAGTACCGTTCTGGCCCGTGCTTCTGTAAGCCCAGGCAGTCACAGTGGAAACCCCAGTAATGGTAGCATCCTACAAGGCTAGGGTAGCCTGGGCCCCTGGCAAAGGCCCCTTCCATGAGCTGCTCAGTAAACCTTCCCTGGAGGCACAGCACCCGCCAGCTTCATCTTGCAGATGAGTAAACTGGGAACCCCAGAGCCTGTAGGTCTGATGCTTTCTGCCCCAGTCTGGTTTCTTTCCCCAGTCCTGGCCGGCATGAAGCCTTTGTGAGAGCGGCACCGAAGTCTTCTCTCCATCGACTGCAGCTCTTTGACAGGTCTCTCTCACCCACCTTCCTCAGCAGCGGAGAGGGGAGAGAGTTCTTTTATTGTGCATGTATTTTTTTCATTTTAATTAAAGTAATAGAAGGCAAGAGTTAAAAAAAAAAAAACAAAAAACAAAACCAAGTCAAAAAGTACCAAAAGGCATATGACAAAGTAGAGCAGTTCTCCAGGGTGCAGAGCCCTCTCCCTCCAGAGGCAACCACTGTTTCCTGGTGTTTACTTCCGTCTTTGTTAGTAATATGCTGAGATCGCTTTTTCTACTCTCATCACTTTTAAACTTGATCTACTGAGAGCTCTTGCGCTGGTAGATGAGAGTTTTGTCTCTGCATCCCTCTCCCGCATACTTCCTTCATGACTTCCGCAAGGAGAGCAGAGCCCGGTGCAGCATCTGCCAGATGCAAGAGAGCTGTTTATGTGCGATGGCATTCGAGTTACGAGAATCAGGAAACAAGCCTGTGATTTCTCTCACAGTTGGCACAATGGTAATTTCTGGATGTTGTGTTTCATTAGCAGCCTCTGAGCGGAGGTGGTTTAAATTTGAGCGGGCAGGATTTAGATGCTTTATTTTTGTATCTGTCTCCGACACGCTTGGAGCCACATGGTTTCTTGGGTTTGTAACAAGATGTTTTCTGTTACCCAGGCTCTGGGCTCCTCATTAGCCCCGATCCAGGTTCCTCTTGGTGGCCTGGCTCCTTTACGAGGTCTTGTAGATGCCCCACCCTCTGGTCTTCGCGGATCTCAAAACGTGAGTCGGGGGAGCTCCGCAGAGTCGGGTCAGCTTGGAGAATTCCCGCTGGTGAGTACTTTGCCGGTGTGCAGCGTTTAGTTATTGCCAGGCCTACTGTGCGCGTGCTGGAGCCTGGGCCCACAGAAGAGCAGAGGAAACGAGGCCGAGTCCGCAGCATTCATAATCAGATGCAGGAGATGCGTCACGCCTGCGTGATGCTGCATGTGAGCTCTGGGTAGGGGAGGCCAGATCGCAGCAGAGGGACGCCCGTGCTGATTTCTCTGTCCACATAGCCAGGCGGTGGGAGCTGAAGAGAGTCAGCAGTGTGAGGCGGGGTCTCCGGGTCAGTTTCATGGCCAAGGGGGCGCTTGATCCGGGAGATGGCTACAGAAAGAGTAGGAAGAACATTCTAGGGCCATTCTCTAAGTCATCCTGGGAAGTCCTCCCTGAGTTTCCCTCTCTGTTTTGGAGCCTCCACAGGGTTTCCAGACTTCTGCTTGTCCAAAGGGTCTCTTGGGCATCCATGAGGATAAGAATGCTCTCAGCCTCTTGGCATTAGGGGAGGAGACCAATGAGGATGAGGAGGAGAGTGACAACCAGGTAACGAGGAAGTCCCCTCCCTGGCCTGCAAACCTTCTGTACAATTTTGTTTTGTTGAAAAAATTATTTTGCTACGGTAAACTATGTATGATATAAAATTTGCTGTTTTAACTTTTTTTTTTTTTTTTTTGTACACTACTGAGGACTAAACCCAGGGCCTTCACACTGAGCAGCATCTCCAGCCCTTTTAAATTTTTTTTGTATTTTAATTTTGGGATAGGGTCTCGCTATGTAGTTCAGGCTGGCCTTGAACTTACTATGTAGCGCAGGCTGGCCTCAAACTCATAGGGATCCCACTGCCTCAGTCTCCAGAGTGCTGGGATTATAGGGATGCACCACCACACACAGCTTAAAATTTTTTTATGTTGAGACGGGGATCTTGCTAGGTTACTGTGTTGCCCAGGCTAGTCTTGAACCTATCGTCCTGCCTCAGCCTTCCAGAGTGCTGGGGTTATAGGTGCACACCATCACACTTAGCCTTTTTAACTGTTTTTAAGTGTACAATTCAGTAGTATTAAATATTTTCACAATGTTGTACAACCGTTATCCCCTCCATTCCCAGGAGTTGGTCATAATCCTGAACAGAAACTATCTGCCGGGCATGGTGGCACATACTTGTGGCCCCAGCACTTGGGAGGCTGAGACAGGAGGATCACCAGACTTTGAGGCCAGACTGGGCTACATAGTGAGTTCAAGGCCAGTTTGAGTTACATATTGAGATCCTGTCTCAAAAAACAAAACAACAACAATGAAAAACACCTCTGTACCCATTCAACAATTCCCCCACTCTCCAGCCCCTGGTAACTTTCAGCCTAGTTTATGTCTGTATGAATTTGCCTATTCTAGATATTTCGTGTAAGTGGAATCATATAGTATTTTTCCATTTTATGTCTGCCATTTTTCATTTAGCGTGTTTTCAAGGTCCATGTTGTTGCATTCATGTGAGTGTGATTCTTTTCATTCTTTTTTTTTTTTTTTTTGGTTTTTTGGGATGGGATCTCACAATATAGTTCAGGCTGGCCTTGAACTCACTATGTAGCCTAGGATGCCTCGAACTCACAGTGATCCTTCTGCCTCAGCCTCCTAAGTGCTAGGATTACAGGGGTATGTACCACACCCCACTTTCTTCATTCCTTTTGAAGGGTGAATGATAGTCCACCACATTATACTACATTTGTTTATCCATTCATCTGTCAATGGATACATGGTTTGGTTCCATCTTTGGCTGCCATCTGCTATTAAAAAAAAAAAAGCAGAAATGATTCTGTTGGCCACAGTTTCATTTCTTGATCAGTCTGTATGCATCGCAGGTCTTATCCTGAAGGCACAGCCAGGGAGCTTCTTGGCCATTTGCTTGGCACAGAACATTGTTCATACTAGATAAAGGGCTGCTTAATGGCTCCTGCTCTGAAGCCCGGCCTGGGCCCAGCTGCGAGCTCAGCAGGACCCTACTTCTCCCTCTGCGTGCCCCTCACCTGGGCTGGGCACAGACTTACTTACCTAATCCCATCATCATTTTTGCTTCTAGAGTGTCCACAGCTCCAACGAGCTTTTCAAGAACCTGCACCTGGATCTGGGGTCCCTGGGGGAGAACTTTGAATATGAGGTAAGAACCTGAAGCCCCTGCTGGTAAATGTCTCAGCCTGAGGATTTCTCCTTCCTTCTGAAGCCTTTCTGTTTGTGGGATCATATTGGCAAAGGTAACCCTTTTGTCCCAGTCCTATCCAACGTTTGCAGGGTTTGGAGAAAGACAAAAGGAGCAGGGAATCCATTTCCTTCCTCATGTATCAAATGACCATTTCTTGAATGTTTTGCGTGGGACACTCCATTAGGTGCTGCAGGACCTGTGAGCATAAAGGAAATCTGCTTGTTGCCATCTTAGATTCTGCATTCTCACAAACTTAGGGAGAAGAAATTACTTGGTGGAAGAGATAGCTTTTGACCTGGGTGTTGAAGAGTATCTGAGTTTGAGACATGGTGGAGATGAAGGAGTATTCTAGGCAAGTGAACAGCTCAAGCTAAGCTTCGAGGGCTGGAAAATGCCAAATGTGGATGGGAATAGCTTCTGGAACACCCTCCCCAGGTCTTGCCCCTTTCTCTGAATTCTGTCCTCTGCTCCCATGAGAATTTTCTTTATAACGAACAAACAACAGCAAAACTCACCATGATTTAATGCCTGTAACCTCCAGTGTGTATTTGCACTTGGAATCTACTATGCGTTCTTTGTCTTGTGTCTGACTTACTAATTTTTTTTGTCTTTTTGAGATAGAGTCTCACTATGCAGGTCAGGCTGGTCTTGAACTCACTTTGTAACCCAGGCTGGCCCCAAACTCGCAATAATCCTCCTGCCTCAACCTCTCCAGTGCTCTGATTACCCGCGTGCACCACTATACCTGGATGACTTACTAATTTTTAAACAACTGAAATTTCTTTATTCACAAAATATTTTCATACCCAATGAATCATGAAGTCAGTGAGTTAGACTTACACAAACATTTATATACTAGGTGCCCATTAAATCAGTTGAACTTTTCACAGGACTAGTATATCAAATTCTTTTAAATACCTTAAACACCTTAATATGAAACCAATCACCTACACATTATTAGAATGATCACAAAACAGGCCAGTAAAACAAAAGTGCTGTTACTATAGATTTAAATTTGTTGCCTTATTATACCTTATTCTTTCTTTTCTTTTTTTTCCCCTGATACTGGGGATTGAACCCTGGGAGCACTGAAGTACACCCCCAGCCCTTCTTATGTTTTTTTATTTTGAGACAGAGTTTTGCTAAGTTGCCCAGGGTGGCTTTGAACTTTCGATCCTTCTGCCTCTGTTTCTTTGTCTAGGATTATAGTCATATGCCGTCAAGCTTTATCCCTTATTTCTGACTTGTTTTTCTCGGTGTTGAGCTCATCTTCAGAGCTAGGGGACTGTGTCAGGCTAGCCAAGGTTCCGGATGTTGGCTGATAGGCCCTGATTTGGTTCTTGAGACCCGAGCTGTGAATGGGCCTCCCACAGCTCTCCCTCCTGGGCAGGACCTTCTTCTTAGCTCTTTGCCTGTTAGTGCAGAAGCTGTCCAACTTTTTGGATCTATATAGTCAGCTAAATGTTTTTTGTTTTTGTTTTTTTTTCCGGTACTGGGAATCAAACTCACGACCTTGCGCTTGTCAGGCAGGCGTTGTGCTGCTGAGCTAAATAAATCCCCAGCCCCTGTAAGCGAAATTTCTATTGTGACTTTAACCCTTTCTGCCAGATGTGACACTTATTTCTGAGTGTCCCATCTGTACCGTCTATCTGATAGGTGTCTACTTTGACCGGTTCTTTCGGAGCGGGACTTGGTCTGGTTGGGTACCTCAGAGGCCTTCACTCTGTTTGGTTCCCTGATGTGATGACTTTGTTTTACTCTCATCCACCATTGAGACCTGCACCGACCGAGGGAAGCAGAGATGCTGCCCCGTTTTGCGTGATGGAGAGCAACTTTGAGTAGTTAGGAGGGTGTCAGGCAGACTTGCTTTTGAAGGAAGAGGATAGTTTCCTAGAGACTAAGCAAGTTGAGGGTGGAGATTCTGCCCATTCATATCTATATTTGAGCGCCATGCCCACAGCTTGGAACATAGAAAGTGCGTGGGGATGTTTTGTTAAACAATGGAGAGCGAATGCATGAATGAAGGAGCCTTACTGGGGTGGGCTGGGGGATAGCTAGGCAGGTTGTGTGGTGTGTTTTCTTTCTTTGGCTTTCTCAGATTCTGGATAGAGCTGTCAGCTGGTGGATTGAAGATCCTAATGTGGGTTGATTATAAATCACTCTGATCTTGAACTACTTAACTTTTTTTTTTTTTCGATACTGGGAATCGAACTCAGGACCTCGTGTTTACCAGGCAGGCACTGTGCTGCTGAGCTATATCTGGCCCTTGAGCTATATCCCTGGCTTTCTTAACTTTATTTTGTAATGGGTCACCAGTGTCAGCAAGTGAGGCATTTTCGTCTTTGTCATGTCCTGAATTTCCTGAAGGTTTTCTTTCTGATGATTATGTGCTTTAAGGCGGGGGAGTGGAAACTTGCAAACATTTTATAACCTCTTTAATATAAATAGGCACCTCAGTGTGGTGGGGAAATGTCTGGAGTGGGCAGTGTTAAATACACCTCCCACCTCTGTCTCTAGCAGCCCAGCAGATTGAGTTCTTTTTGCCACATGGGGTGTGGAATTCACATGTTCTAACCTCAGGCAGGAATTAGGGCTTTTTCTGCTGGAGAAAGCTGGTAGTGGGGTTGAGTGATGGTTTTACAGCAGGCAAAGCTGCCTCTGCTTGGGCCCTGGCCTTTGGGAATGCCTTTTGTCTCGGCTTACAGCCCTTGGATCCTCTGAACTGTCCACCTTTCCTGCTGTCAGGCAGCCCGGGCAGCCTCTCGTAGAGCGTTCCTTCCTGGCTTCGCACTGCCCTGTTTGCTGAGCAGTCACTTTGCTCATGATTCCATGAGAGGGCAGTAGGATGGTGAGAATGCATTTTTCCCTCTGTCTCTTTCTCCCTCCTCTTCTGTCTTTCAGCTTAAACCCATTTCTAGTGTATCACAGGCTCGGAAGGAAAAGGTTCAGAGAACCAGCACTGAGAACGCATATGAACGAGATGGGAGGGGTGAAAGGGTGGGCAAAAAGGCTGTATGTGACCATGTGGTGCCGGATGAAAAGCCCATCAGCAGAGCAAAGGAGCAGGAGGGGCCCGGGGCTTAGAAATAACAGGATGATGTCAGTGTGACTGGAAAGTGCTAACTACACCAGGGAGCTGTGCAAAGAATTGAGACCAACTGGGGAGGAATGAGACCTGAGAAATAAACTGGACCGATGGTTGACCTGGCAGGTGGTCTCCCCAGAAAGGTCAACACATGGATGTAGTGTTCAGTCCCCCCACCTCCATCGTAGTAGTTCCTGCCCTTGTGTTCTGGGTAGGAAATGGAGCCTGTAGCCCCGGAGAGTTGTGGCTTTCTGGGGAATGTCTTACTCGTACTCCCTGTAGCCTGGTCCTCATGCAAATGGTGGGACCTTGAAATTTGACTTGTGATATTCAAGGACCTGGGGCAGTAGCAGCAGGAAACAGGAACATGAGTTCAGATGAGCTGAGGGCAAAGCTGAGCAGCTACAGAGCGCAGGGCAGGAGACCGTGCACAGGTTCCCTGAGTATGCGTGCTAGTTGGGGACTTCAGGGCTCGGGTCTAGAGACATGCCGAGGAGCACCAGCTGGGTGAAAAGAGATGGGTGTGAGTCACTTGTACTCAGCTCTGGCCATCCTTTTGTGAATTGCCTACAGCCGTGTGAAATCTCCTCTGCTTTCCCTACCCTCAAGGCGTGCCTCTGGCTGTCCTCTCCTTGGAGTTAGCTGACAAGGGGGCGGAGAATGCAGGGTCACTTATTTTAATACTAGCCGTGTTTTGATATTTCGGCAGGCAGGCTAAGATCAGACCCATCATATGAAAAGAATCATCATTTTTGGGGTGCTTTGGGTTGCACTCAGAACCTTGTGCATGTTAAGCACACACTCTACTACTGAGACATGCCCCAAGATGAAAATTTTCTTTTGAAGAATTTAAGCTTGAGAGTTGGTTAGACTGGGCCAAAGGTTATTATGTAGTCTGGTTGTATTCTTGCTGATTGTATGAGGATGAGCCTGACCATGATGGACTGACTAGTTGCTGTATCTGGTATTGTCTGATTTTCAGTAGGTTACTTGTTTTTCCATCATTTTGAATAATTAATTAACATTTATTTGGTATTTTCCACTTAATAAGCACCATAAGTATTATGTAGTGTAATCTCAGTGTGACCTTGACAAATACATATTACATCGCCCCTTTGCAAGATAGGAAGAGAAGCCTCAATTCCTCTATCTGCACAACATACCCATATACTCACTGATTTTTTGGGGGAAGCAAGTACTGGGGATTGAGTGTGGGGCCTTTGCACTGAGCAACATTCCAAGCCCTTTTTGATTTTTTTTAAATTTTGAGACAGGGTTTCATTAAGTTACCTAAGCACTTGACCTTGCGACTTTCTTACCTCAACCTCACAGAGGCTGGCTTGATTTAAAAAAAAAATAATCCAGCCAGCAAGCCTTTACTGAGCATCTGTTATGTGCAAGAAATGGTACTGAACACATAGGTACTGTCCACCTTTCCCTGCTGTCAGGCATCCCTGACAGCTCGCTGGTAAAGTATCTGTTCAACCCAAAGATATGACCATCACCTGCAGACCTGGCAGCCAGCTGACAAGCCAACCCAAGCTCTTCAAAGATGGTACAGATAAGCAACAAAGCAAGGCAGTACAGAGCTCAGCTTTGCAGACAGACAAAACTGGTGAGGGAAGCAGACCAGGAAGCCAGCAATTACAATAGGTACTAGGGAAAGGATGGGGAAAACTGATTTCAGGTCAGCTGGCCCAAGGAGCACGGAAGGCTTCCTGGAAGAGGTGATGTGAGAACCAGGGAAGTTTGCTAGAATTTTGTGTGTGTATGTGTGTGTGTGTGTGTGTGTGTGTGTGTGTGTGTGTGTGAATGTGCATGGCAGGGCAGAGGGTATTTCAGTGTTAGTGCATGCTTAGTATGTGCAAAAACCTGGGTTCTATTTACAGTAACTCCCCAACCAAAAAAGCACAGCAAAGTAGAGAAATAGCATAGTTTATCTACAGGCAGAAGAAGAGAATGTGAGCAGGGTATGGCTGGAGGCGAACCATGAGAAGGAAGCAGGGACTGGCTGGGCAGGGCTGTGGGCTAAGTGAGAAGGTACGAAGTTCATCTTCATCTTGGAGGCTGTAGGTACTGTCAGGGGCCTGACAATTCCCCTGTCTCGTGGCCCAAGGTCCGTTGGCTGGCAGCCCTCTTTGAGCCAAGTTTCTCTCCCAGCTTCAAGCCTTCCTTAATCCCAGGATGAGCCTGACCATGATGGACTGAGTAGTTGCTGAGGGTGGGCATGCGGCTGGCCAGACACTGCTCTTCTACCCCAAGAAGCTGTCACTCTGGAGTCTACAGAGCCCCACAGACCAGACAGGGAGTCCTTGCTGAGTTGTGGCAGATCCTGGGGGATGAGGTCTAGCCACAGCCCAGAGCTGCTTGTCTGCAGAAGAGGAGCTCTTTCCCCTAAGCTCAGCTCAGGGATCACGTAGATTATTTCTGTATGATCTCGGGATTCTTAGGAGGAGGGCAAACCTGGGTAGTACCTGCATTCTCCAGTTCACCTTCTGCTTTTCTTTCAGGGACAGGTTGAGGCTGATGTCAGTGCCACCCATGCACCTGGCATTTCTTTGCTTTGGGCAGTAAAAGCTTATCATGAGGCCCATCTGGGACATTTTGCTTTTCTTATGTTGGCGCAGTTCCCTGAGGGAAAGATGTATGTCTTGGTCATGTTCAGTTCCACGACACAGTGTGTGGCACATGGAAGGTGCTCGGTGGGTGAACATGTAGGTCTCACCTTAGAGTACTAGTTAACATTTACGGGACACTCACTGGATGTCAGCACATGCTGAGTTCCTTAACTCACTGAGTGAGTTTAAATCTTCCCGGCAACCCTCTGAGGCAGGCACTATTACATCTTTACATTTTGGAGGAAGAAACCGAGGCACGGAGAACTTCATCCATCCAAGGTCATACATCTGAAATGTTGGAGCCAAGCTTTGAGTCTGGGTTGTCTGTCTCCAAAGCTGAGCTCTGTACTGCCTTGCTTTATTGCTTGTCTTTACCATCTTTGAAGAGCTTGGGTTGGCTTGTCTGTTGGCTGCCAGGTCTGCAGGCGATGGTCATATCTATGGGTTGAACAGATACTTTACCAGCGCGCTGTCATCATATCTGCCATGTTTAGGGCTTCTCCTTGGGCCGTTCTATTCTTGACTTGTGTCAGTCAGATTTCCATAACTGTAATGAGATATCTGAAGTAACTAACTTGTAAGAGGTTTATTTTGCTTCCCAGTTTTGGAGGTTTTGGCCCCTGATCAGTTGGCCCCCTTGTTTTGGGCTGTGGTAAGGCAGCATATCATGGTGAGCACAGGTGGTAGAGCAGAACTGCTTATGTCATGAGCCAAGGAGCACAGAGAAGAAGGGACTAGGGTTCCACAGTCCCCTCAGGGCATAACCCCCAGGGACCTAAGGACCCCCAACTAGGACCTACCTCCTACGGGTTCTGCCACCTTCCAGTAGCTCTACTATGGGAACCAAGCCTTGTGGGTCATTCCAGATCTAACTATAACATAGTCATCATGCTCCTTGTTTGAATCTTCAGGGTAGAGAAGCAAAAAGTCTTACAATCCCCTTATCAGGAACTGTTCAGCCTGGCGGCCCAAGTGTTAGTACAGGTGTTTTCTGAAAGGAAGTATTTGTAACCTGAACCCAGGAGAGAGCACTGGCTAGATTTCCAGCGAAGGGTTTTCTGCCTCTATTTTGGCCAACTTTTTTTTGTTTTTTTTTGGTACCAGAAATCGAACTTAGGACCTCGTGCTTGCCAGGCAGGCACTTGCGCTGCTGTGCTATGTCCCTGGCCCTTATTTTGGCCAACGTGAGAGAATTCAGTGCAAGCAGTCATAGATTTTCAATTGTTTTTAAAGTGAGGTTTGTGTGTGACAAGCAGGTATGTTTGCTGTTGAGATGTGCTGCTTGTATCTCCTTTTAAAATACCCTGCTGAGTGGAATTAGTAGATTGACAACAGCCAGCTGCTGTCCTTTTGTACTCCTGGATTTATGCCTAAACCATGCCTCCTGTTGGTGACAGGTCACACACGGGTTGAAGGGCAAGGCTGAGTGTAGACAACTATGGGGCCCTTTAATGACGTTCTACTGGGGCATCCTCTACTGGGCTGTACAGCACTGCTCAGAACCTTGCTGTGCTCCCTTCAGTCTCCCCCACCTTCCTTCCTTCTCTCCAGCCACAGGTTCAGACCTGCGTTGTGTTCTGAAGGGCCTCCCTGTTTCCTTTGTCCATCACAGGCATCTCCTCCAACACAGCTCTTGCATATCTAATCCTATCATGACATCTGCTTTGCAAGGGACCGAAATTGATGGTCCTGGATGCAGGACACTGTCTGCAAGGTTCCCAACGATCAGCTTGTACAAGGGAAGCTTTGGGGAGGAAGGGAACACTCTTTGGTTTTCTTCTGCTGGCTATGAAACATGAAAGGTAGAAATGCTGGACTTTGCCACTTTTCTCTCATGTGATTTCTTATCATCATCTTAAAGGAATCTTGGCTTCTGAGTTTGCAATCTTTTGGCTAACGGGGCCAGAGAGAGACAGCTTTATTAGCAGAGGACATGATAAATGGTGGCAGAGTTGTACAGTCCAGTGCAGCAATTTCCAAGCCCATCAGTGGACAGAAGTCCAGTTGGACATAGCCACTCACCGTAGAAATTCCAATCTCGTAGATCCGAGGGGGGCTGCAATCTTGTGTTAGGTGTTGGAGACTGTTGGGGTCAAAACTCAAGCACTACTCCACGGGAGTCAGGAAATAGCAGCTCTGTCTTTTAGCATCTCTCTAAATTGCTTTTCCATATTCCTCTTGTCTTCCTTTCTGATATAATCTGTGGTCCCTAGGAGTCTCCAAGAACAAGCCAGCCAGTGGAGAAGGACATTTCTCTTGATTCAGACCCTGCCGGCCCCGCTACTCCTGGAAAGCTCTTCGGCCACACTGGAGACAGTAGTCTGAGCGGCAGTGATGGCAAAGGGCCACAGGACAGAAGGTCAAGTCCTTGGCTTGCAGGAAAAGAAGAGAAGGAGAAGAGTGACCCTGCGGCTTTCACATGTCTGGTGACCCCTGGGGTGGACCCTGGGGTCAGTCAGCTTCCCAAGGCCTCTAAAAAGGACTCTAAAGAGGACCTGAGAGATGCAGGTGAGGAGGCTTCCAGGAGAGAAGAGGCGGCAAAGGAGCTAAAGAGGGAGGCTTCTGCCCCCAAAGAGAGCAGATCGGATGCCAGTGAAGTAAGTCACTGTGCCCCCCGGCACTTCCCAGCTGCCGCCCTCTCTGCTGTCTCTGGCCCTGTGCAGCTTCCTATCCCCACGTCTTCATTACTGAGTCAGGAGCATCATTTGCAGGCCTGTACTGGGCTGTCAGCATCAGCCAGAAGCCTTAATTGTGACAAATATACCCAGACCCAGCAGGCAGTAAAATCCGGAGTGAAACTGCAAACGTGCCGCTACTGGAAATTTAGAGCAGAAACGAGCCTTTCCATTGGCCCCCTCCTGGGATGTTCATGTTCTGCTCTGCTCCTGCTTACTTCCTCTTCCCCTTCCCTGCCTCCCCCTCTACTTCTAGTCTTGGTTTGCTGCAATCTGACTGAATTCCTCTGTAGAGGGTGAGTGTGTGTGTGTGTGTGTGTGTGTGTGAGAGAGAGAGAGTGGAGAGAGAGAGAGTGTGTGCGTGTGTGTATGTGTGTGTAGGATGAAGGGTGGCATAGTTGAGAGTGTTCTGCCCTAGCACAAGCAGATTAGGTTACAAGACTTTTTTGCCAGGCATGGCAGGGCACGCCTGTAATTCCAGCACTCAGGAGGCTGAGGCAGGAGGATCGTTGAGGCCAGCCTGGGCTACAGAGTGAGCTCATGACCAACCTGAACTGCATAGCGAGACCCTGTCTCAAAAAGACAAAGAAAGAAGACTTTTTTTTGGCACTGGGAATTGAACCCAGCGCTGTTACACTGAGCTACCACTCCAGTCATTTTTCTACTTTTTTAACACTGAGACAGTCTTTCTAAATTGTTAAATTGCTCAAGCTGGGCTTGAACTGGTGACCCTTCTGCCTCAGCTGTCCAGAGTGCTGGAATTACAGGCTAGTCCTGAACTCATTGTTTAGCTCCTGCCCAAGGCCCCCCGTGCTGGGATTACAGGCGTGTGCTGCCATGCTGTGCAAGCAGGCTCTTCTCCTCCATTTCAGTGGCTCTTTATGAAGAGACACAAGACACGGAAATGGTTGCTTTTACCAGATGAGGTCAGCAACTAAAATGGACAGAATATGTCTGAGTTGAGACAGCTTTGGCATTTTAGATTTTCTAATCATTGGTCCTCTGAGCAGATGATGAGGGAATTCAGTTAGAGAGCTTTTATCTACTTCCTGGAAAAGGTACCCTCCTTCCATGTTTTAGGGTAGCATCTGTATTGGGTAGCATCTGTATTTTAGGGTAGCTTCTGTATTGCCAGAAGTTTCTAATCATCTCCAGTGCACTTGACTCCTCTCACATCTGACACCGGATTGATCTGATCCGGGCCATGGTTGTCTGCATTCAGCTGGGCCCCCAGCCCTGGCTGGGCATAGGAAGAGGCTGCTCTGTGTGTCTGGAGAACATGGGAGGGCCTTTGCATTTTTAAGAAGAGATAGATTTCAGTTTGGCCTGGGGGATTTCTCTGTGTGTCTGTCTCCGTAGGACTCGGAGGTTAGTGAACTTATGAAGGAACCGCAGCTCTCAGACTCCGTGGCTTCTGACCCCAAGTCCTTCCTTGGTCTGGTGAGTTTGTAATAAGAGGAGACAAGAACATGGGTTTTGGGTCCCCCAGGTTAAGTAATTTGTCTAGCATCACAGAGCTAGTACATGGGGAAGTTAAGACTCCACTGTGGGTCTTGTTAGCACCTGTCCTCAACCTGTTAACTATAGGTAAGATCACCTGCTAATACATTTGCTATAAGAAGAAAGTGAGGTAGGGAAGTAAAATACAAGCCTTTCAATATTAAATAAATGTTAGCTGTTACTGCTCTTACTGTGGGTGAATTGTCTATGAGGTCATATGAGCTGCTTCTAAGCTCTCACAGGAGTGTTACACAAATCTAGTTGTATTTCTGGGGTCATTGAGCTATGAGGCAAGGTACAGCCCTGAGGTTTTGTCTGGGAAGCCTGCTGTGGTTTCATTTTTAAAGTTAAGGTTTTGTCCTGGAGTGCAAGCATCCATGGCTTCTTTATCCCAGAACCTCTGCCTAGCCTGCTCTATCCCAGTTCCCTTTGCCAGCTCTGAGTCTAAGGGGAGTAGTTCAGGTACTTTTTGGCCAAGCATTGCCTTTATATACCCCTGTCGATCTGCTTGGAGGATGCAGATCAAAGGCAAGAGATTAGTGTGAGAGGGTCAGGGATGAACCGTGATGATATGGAGTGGGGAAGGGTAGAGGAATTAGGAGGCTGTGAGCTCCAGCCCTGCACTGAGCCATGAGCTTAGGAGGCAGCTGTCAGATACATTATGTGGAGTAGAATTCAAACTGAAAGGTAAAGGTCACCAAAAGAGAAAACCCCACAAACTAGGGAGGGAGGCAGAAAGTCATTGTTGCTGGCAAAAACCGCTGATGAAGAACAGCCGTATCACTGAACTCCCGGAAGCTAGGAGCCTGGCCCTTCCAAAGCAGCCACCATGTGGTGAAATGTGCCCATCATTTTTTTCCCTCTGTGGGAGTAGAGAGAGAAAGCCGTGAGCAGCAGGATTGGTCCTTGTCTGGGCGTCCCTCCATCTATCAGGGCTGATGTCAGAACCGTGCCCATTAGCATGCTGTTGGACGACAAGCCTTCACCTAGCCCAGCAGGATCTCGAACTCGGTGTGACAGCCAGAGGGCATTGAGGAGCTGGCCCTGGGTTAGGCACTTGTGGCCTGTCCAAAGAGAAGTCTGTAGAGAAAGCACTGCTAAGTAATTCCCATCACCCAGAGGGCTGCCTGTAGGGGAAGGGGGAAGGAACGAGCTGGACGGAGCCCGCCAACCCTCGTTTCCAAGCTGCCCACAGGTTCCCTGGTACTTGTGGGGCCCTAGTTGCGCACTGAGGGGCAGAGACAGCTGGGAAGTGACATGCTTTGCCGCACATGTCCTGGAAAGAGCTTGGGCTTTGGAGTCAGCCCCAGGGCCCATCTGACTCCCAACCCCTTTGCTTATCCGCTGCGTGACCTTGAGCAAATGGTGTGTGCTCCCCAGCCTGCCTGCACATCTGTGAGTCTCATTCTCACAGGATATTTTTTGCCCATGATTTTATTACGAAAAATTCAAACATCTGGAAAACTTAAAAGAATTGTACAGTGAATTCTCACATGCCACTTAGCATCTACAACGAATATTTTTCTATACTTCCTTGATCACATATCTATGCTTCTAGTCACAGTGTTATTTTGAAGACTAAATTAGTAGGTATCCACATGTTTATTTAGCACAATGCCTGGCATGTAGTGGATGCTTTTCTGCAAGGTTGGCCTTAGGGGTAGAGGAGGGGCCCAGGTGAGCCCTATGACAGAGACGAAATTGACTTTCCTATCTCCATTGTCTCTAGGCCCTTGGTTTTCACAGCCGAGTCGCAGAGGACTTGCTAGATGGTGACATGCTTTCCCCTGTCCTGGATGGCGCCCACTGGGAGGTAAGTCTCTCTTGGCAGGCTGGGCTAGGACCTCACTTTCCGTGGCATCCACTGTTTGAGATAACCCGCAGCTGATGCTTGCCCATCCCAGCCTGCTCTTCTGGATGCTCTCTGCCTTTTATTTCCTTAAGGCATGGCCCTGACTGTACCTTTGATGGGACTTCTGACTGTTCCCACTCTGCTGCTGCTTAGAATTAAACCATTTTCCCTGTATATTGATCCATTTGCTGGCGCCTGCTTATGTGCAAAGTGTTGCGGAGATTGTGGATTTTAAGGCATTTTCCAACGTGTCCCATCCATCCCTTGCAGCTTCATGCTCACCTGCCCCATCAGCTGAGTCTGCCATTCCCCTTCCTGAGCCTGCTTCCACCTCCATGCTGCCGGGCCTGCCGCTTCCTTCCCAGCGAGCTCTTTCTGGGCTAGGAGGCCCACCTCTGAAGCTACCGCCTCCAAGCAGGATGAATTGTTTCTTCTCTTTGCCTCCTTCAGGGCTTCTGGTTTTGCTCTGTGGTTATGTGTCTTCCCTGCCGGGTGTGAGCTCTGTGTGGGCACAGAGGATATCCGACCTGGGTAGGGCACAGAGGTGGCTGAAACAGAGATCCTGTCCTTGAGGATCTTAAGACAAGGGAATCAGTCTTTTTTCCTCCTTTCTGGGTTGATTAGAAGGATTCTAGTGAGAAAGCAAGTTAGAAAGCATTTGGTTTGAGTGGAATAAAATTTTATTGGGTGAAACAAACAAGATGTTTAGTATGAACCCAGCCTAGGAGTCCTTAGTGAAATGCTGAGACAGGCTAGAGTTTTCAGATTCATTGCCTTTGAATCCTGTATGTTCCTCCTGGGTGTGGCCGATGGCGTCCTGGGCTGCTGTCCATCTGTCGGGCTTCTGCTAGACTTTTATCACCCTATTTGTGTTACCAGAGGGACATAAAAGCAAAAACAAGGGTAAATTGGAAGTCAGGGAGGGTTTGGGGCAGGTAAATTGTTAGGCACCTTTGGCAGCAGGTAAGTGGCAGAGCTACTGAGTTGGTAGGATGTGAGGTGGATGGGTAGGTTGGGGTGAATTCAGTTGTTCTGGTTCCAGACTGTTCTATAACTGTGCTTTAGGCTCTGGTCCATTTTTCTGTATTCTCTAGTTCTCTTTCAAGGACAGAACCACAGTAAAGACTTAGAGCTGAGCGAGCCTAGCTTTTGTTTGTTTGTTTTTTTTTTTTTGGTTTTTCTTCGGTACCGGGAACTGAACTCACGACCTTGCGCTTGCCAGGCAGGTGCTTTGCCGCTGAACTAAATCCCCAGCCCCGAGCCTAGCTTTTGTTCATTTGCCCAATATCAGAATTACTTGGGAGCTTTAAAACTGGCAGATTTCTCAGTCCTACCTAAGACCTGATGAGGCCAGCAGCCTCTTTTATGGCTCATGCTGCTTGGTATAAAACAGTAGCAGAATTTGCCTTCATTTTGTTCCCCACATTCCCAGAGCTGGCAGAGGAAGCCCTAAGTGACACCTGAGGCCAGGCTGTTGAATGGTAGAGGTTGCTGGATGCTCAGGTTGGCTGATCAACCAGAGCTTTTAGTGGGGCTCAGCCTTTAGCGCTGTCTTTGTACTCAGGGTGTGTGTGTGTGTGTGTGTGTGTGTGTGTGTGTGTGTGTAGGGGTGGGGTAGGGTGAGCAGGCACGTGGAACTGGAGGAATGAGCAGCCCCTCTTTTGTGGGTCAGGGAACCCTAAATGCAGTCTCCTTGTCCTTTAGGCTCTGGTCCATTTTGCTTGTATTCTCTCATTCTCTTTCAAGGACAGAACCACAATAAAGACTTAGAGCTGAGCGAGCGTAGCTTTTGTTCATTTAGAAAATGTTTTGTGGGCTGGGGGTGCAGCTCCATAGTAGAGCTCTTGCCCAGCATGTCTGTGGTCCTGGGTTCAATCTTCACTACCACAAGGGGAGAAGAAAAAGCTTTATTGAGGTACGTAGTGGTACCTCAGTTCATGAGCTTGATTCTCTCCATGATTCTGATCACAAACTGAATTGGATGAAACTGAATCAAATTCAGTGGTTAGGTTCCGCGTTGACCTTATGGGGAAATTTGGTTCAGTTCTTGTTGAGTTCCGTTTGTGACCAGAATTGTGGAGAGAATTGAATTTGTGAACTGTAATTGACATAAATTGACATAAAATAAGGTACATATTTAAAGTGTACAAGTTGATACATTTTATCACCTGTATGAGATGTGATTAAAAAACATGGATGTTTAAATTTTTAAAAATTTATTACAAAAAATAATAAAAATAAATTTATTACAGTAAAAGACACATTGCTATTTTTTTTTTTTTACTTTTTTTTTTTTGACACATTGCTATTAATGTGTCTCCTCAAAATATTCCCCCTCATTTTGGATACACTTATCTGATAATTTTTTTTTTTGAGACAGGGTCTTGCTATGTCGTTCAGACTGGCCTTAGACTCACTATGTAGCCCAGGCTGGCCTGGAACTCACAGTAATCCTCCTGCCTCAGCCTTTTGAGTGCTGAGATTACAGGCGTGCACCACCACACCCAGCTTATCTGATCATTCTTGCCGGGAGAATTCTTGTGGAGCAGGTCTAGAAGTCCTTTCTCATGAGTGTCCTTAGTTGCACTGTCATGGCTGCCTCAATCCCGGAATCCATTCCGAATGTTTAGTTTTCGTGGTCACTTTGACCTTGAAGAAGAGCCAGAAGTCACACAGTGCCAGATCCAGTGAATAAGGTGGATGAGGAACACTGTAATGGTTTTATGTGACAGAAATTACTTAAACATTTGATTAATGAGAGGTGATCATGAAATACAGAGAATGTATAAATTTAAAAATGTATTACTATAAAAGACACATTGCCATTAGCTCTCTTGAAAATACTCAGAATGCTCCCCTTGTTTTGGACACATTTATTTCATCATTCTTGGCAATGTGTCTTTTACTGTAATAAGTTTTAAAAAAAATTTAACCATGCACTGTGTCTTTTCATCACTCTGTGTACAGTATATTCCCTTGAAACTATCATCACAGTCAAAATAATGAATTATAAGCATAGTGAATTTCCGAATAAATCAGAGAAGTGATCATAAAGTTATTTCAGATAACACAGGTCAAAGTCCTCTGTTTCCTGCAGCCTTTGTCCCACAGGCAGGGGCTATGAATGTTTCCATTAATTTTTTTTTTTTTTTTTTGGTGTTTTGAGACAGGGTCTCGCCATGTAGTCTAGGCTGGCCTTGAACCTGCAGGCTGGCCTTGATCTTCCTGCCTCCTGAGTGCTGGGGTCACAGTGTACACCACCCCTACCCAGTGGCTCCATTAATATTTTTCACGTGCCTGTCTAGAAATTCTTCTGTGCATGTGTAGATGTAACTTGTATTTGTAACTTCTTTTTTCCTTTCCACAAGAATTGAGATTATGTTACCAAAAATGCTTGACAATCTGTACTTTAAATTTGTGAACTGACCCTTGACTTATTTCTGAATTATTTCATGTAGATCTCCCTTACTGTTTTTTAGTGTTTGCATAGATGTCTGCGGTATGAATGCACCATGTTTTATTTAGCTGGATTTTAAACAAAATAAAACCCTGGAGCTGAGTTAAGGGAGGGGATGTAGTGTCTTGAGGATTCTCAGGCCAGGGGCCCAGGATATGGTTGCTGTCTTTCCTTTCTTTCGTTTTGGTACCGGAAATCGAACTCAGGACCTCGCACTTGCCAGGCAGGTGCTGTGCCGCTGAGCTACATCCCTATCTCTAGCTGGGGAGCTCATTCAGTTTCTTGCAGCTATGTAGAAGATGAAACAAGAAGGGACGAGGCAGAAAGACTGGGTCTGCCTCTTGCCTCCAAGGTGCCTGCCTTTTTCCTCGTAGTACTTGACTTACAGCCCTGGAGTCCTTTCTGACCCAGGGTCCTGTCCCTCAGGTACTGTGATCACTGTACTTTGTTAGTTTGTTAAATGGAATTGGCCTGTGGCTCTCTCTCTCTCTCTCTCTTTTTTTTTTACCTTGAAAAGTGAGTGAGGGAGATATTTGATGAGGTTGGTGTGGTTTTCAGGGGAAGACACATTGTGAATTGAGTACTGGAAGCATGGGGGCTGCGTGGCCCTGTCACTGTCTGCAGGCTCTGCCTAGGCTGATGCGATGAGGAGTGGCAGCCCTGGCAGGGAGCCCTTCTGCTGCAGGCACCACGAGGTACTCACAGGCGGCATTGCTATTTTTAATGTAATTTGGGGGAGCTGGGTGTTAGCTCAAGCCATGCCCTTCCTCGCCCATCCAGATGGCAGAGTTGGCCACAGCTGCTGGGGCTCAGGCTGCCGGTGGAGAGGTGCAGGGGGTGGTGGGCACAGAGCTGGGGACCCCACTGGGGAAGATGGAGTGAGCTGTCTCCTGCTCCACCTCTCCTGTTGACCCCTGTGTCCCAGAACAGACGGGGCTCCTGTTGGGGTGACAGAAGGAGTACAGGTCCTGGAATGGGGACTGGCACTGGCAGAGGCTTTTCTTTTTCTTTTCTTCCTTTTTATTTTTTGTTTGCTTCAGTCTAGGGGAAAGCAAAAGGCGTATGGGAAGAGGAGCTAACATTCAGGGCCTGCCTTCTCTGGGCCAGGAGCTGGGCTTATGCACACGATCTCATTTGATCCTCAGCGGAAGCCCTGGGCACTGTGGCTCCCTGTCCCACTGCACGGTGGAGGAGCAGCCTTCCCAGGCAGGAAGTGCTAGCACCCGGGGGAGACCCCAGGCTGACTGCACTGCCCTACTCTGTGGGAAATACTAGAATCATCACAAATAGTCGTTTTCTTTTTTAAAAACCAGTTTGCTAAATTTGCCTAGACACCCAAGCTTTCAAATAAGATTTTGGGGTTTAATTTTGAATGGCTGTTATAATCCCTGGCTAGGAGTGGGTGTCATTGTCCTGGGAGGAGACCCATGCCCACACAAGCCCCAAATGGAGCAGTCGCAGAAATGCCAGTGTCTGCTTTCTCCCAGGTGCCAGAAGTCATACCTTTGTCCTGGGGCAGAGCCTGCTCCTGCTCCCCCAAGACCCTAATTCCCCAGGATGCTTCCTTTCAGATGTACTTGCCAGCTGCCCTCCATTCTGCCTATTTAATTTTAGCAGTATCGTTGGGGCTGCTGATAGGCCTCAGTGGATCTGGCTGGTCATGGATCACTCTGCTTTCTCTTTGCAGCCAGCACTGCAGGCTTCCAGCAGCAGGAGGCAGGTTTTGTTTTTCTTGTGTGTTCGCTTTCTGCCCCAGGCCCCTGGCTCTGTGTGTAGTGGCTGTGGTCATTTGTCTCCTCCTTTACTATGAGCCTGAGGCTTCATCACAGGCCGGCCTCTGGTTCTAGGTCCCATGTGGCCTGTGTCCTCCTGAGAGCCACCCTTCAGTGCTTTCTCCTAAGCATGGAATCAGCAAGAGGGCGGAGATCCCTACAGTACAGACCCTGCTAATGTATACTTTCCACTGCTTTTTGTCCACAGTCTCAGGGCTTAGCAAGAGGAGACCGGGATGGCAGTCAGTCCAGTCGAGCAGAGCTCCAGAGCAAGCGGTCCAAAGGCTCAGAGAGGTACAGTATGTGGGACGTTGTCCTTCCAGAGCTGAGGAATGGTGTGCCTTCAGGATGGTGTGGACTTGGGCAGAATTACAGGCTTTGGTGGTTGACTTGGCTCAGTTTGTCCCTGGTCTGAAAGCAGACGGTGAACTGGCTAGGAGGCTGTGCAAAGTGTGTGTGTGTGTGTGTGTGTGTGTGTGTGTGTGTGTGTGTGTTTGTGTGTGTGTGTGTGTTTGTGTGTGTGTGTCTGTGCATGCCCTGTGGTGCTGCACAATAGAAATGTGAAACGCTGCTTGGTAGGACTCTTCACAGGGCACCATGGTAGGGCCGGGGCTCTGTCCTCCTCCCTGGGTTGGGCTGATTACACTGTGTGCACCTGGTCCTAGGCCAGGACTGAAGTAGCCTGATAGAGGCCTGGGGAGTCATGCTGCAGGGTCGGTACTACAGCTCTGAGCTCAGAGATGAATGTGGCTCTGTGAGTGTGCATGTGCATCTGACCCTCTGGGGCTGTTCCTACTTTTTTGGGCCTGAGCCTGTGACTGGAGAAGGGCCGCCACCCTGGAGGGGCAAGGAGAGTGGTCATCCTCGTCTTAGACCTTGGAAAGCTCTCAGCATTCTAACTTTTTTGATGCTACAGCTTCATGTATTTTCCAAAGTCTGACCCTTTGAGTCTGGTGCCACCTTTTCTCTTTATTTTATACTCAGTTCTTCAGTTTCGCTCTAGCCCTGGTGGTGGTGAACTCCGGGAGTGGACACACATGGGGGCATCCAGGTCTCATGCCTAGACCAAGCCGGTGTGGCACAGGGAGCTGGGGAGCCTGGCTTCAATCTTGGCAGAAAGGAAGCTCAGAGGGGAGTGTCTCCTTGCTGGACACTGGCTGCTTTGCCCTGCAGCTCTCTGTGTGGGTTTGAGGCAGAGACTGGGTCTAGCTGGGGAGCAGGCACTGACCTAGGGATGCACACTGCACTCCCAGCTTCCTTCCTGCTCTCCAAATGGGGGCCTGATGCAGCTGCTCTGGCCTGCTGACCAGGTTGTCTCCTCCACTTCTACACGAGGAGCGGTCCCAGAGTCCCCTTCATAGCCAGGTCACTGAAGAACAGCCTCCAAAGACCCCTGAGGGGCAGCCTGGGCGGATGGAAGTGGGGGAGCCTGAGGAGGACTCTGTAGCCAGCCCCATCCTGCTGGTGTCCCTCCAGAGGTAAGGGTGAGGGAGAAGCACCCTGGGTGACGGGGGCCCTCTGTGTGTCACGGGTGTCTGTGCTGGTGCTGAGGGAGACAGGAGTGGGGAGGGTCTGGAGGCGGAGGCTGGAGCCAGGGCGAGTTTGCAGCTGGAGCAGCAGCAGCAACAACAGGAGCAGGAGCTGGGAAGAGGGGAAATCTGCTTCGTCCTTGTCCTCGATCTCCAGGTGAAAGCTGGGTAGCCAGCCTGATTAGGGGAGCTCGGGAGCTCTTCAGTAAAGATTCTCTTCTGTCCCCATGGCCCCTTTACCAGGGACTGGGACAGAGACTTCGCTGTTGCCCTGGCTGTGCCATTCTTGCCAGGAGGGCCCCTTCTCCCTGCCCCTCCTCACCAGTACCCTCCCCATCAGCTGTCTACCCAGCCCTGGTCACTCAGCAAACCCGCGAGAGTCCTGCTCTGTGCTAGGTCCAGAGAGAGGGAGCCGTACAAACTCGGGGTCCCCAAGCCAGCTCGACCTTCCCATCCCAGCCTGGTCCAGAGCCCAGTGCATGTTTGCCAGGGCCTCTGCCCCCCAGCCAGGGGAAGATGCTGATCTTAGGAGTCATCTGGTTGGGATGAGCCACCAGGGAGACTGAGTAGCAGTGCTGTCCAATCGGTAGCATCCACTGAGCACTGCCCTCAGAGCTTTTCTTTTGATGTCACAAGCACACTGCTTCCCACGGGGGTGGGGTGTCTGGTCGTCAGTGCACAGAACTCAGCAAGAGGCTGGGAGGGAAGCACGAGGTTGGGGTCCCGGGGCAGGGAAACTTTGTGGGGGCTGTCACTCTTGTTCCCTTGCAGGTCTTTGACCCTGAATGGGTTGCAAGTCAAGCAGCTTTCTTTCCTACTAGCTTTAACACAATTGCTTCCTTTTTGCACTCAAGGGAGCAGACCTCAAGCCCAGCAGCTGCCCACGAGAGGGGCCAGGCTGAGGATCTGGGCTCTGGGCAGGAAGAGACTGAGGAGCCCCAGGAGGAGGTGGCAGTCAGTGCCATTCCGCCAGTCTCTCCGGAGGTGTAAGGGCCAACTTTATCTGTCCCTGTTCACTGTACATAGTTGCTGGAGTGCCCATTCTTGGGTGGTGGGGAGGGGCTGCTCTGGCCTAGGAGTTGGGGTGCAGGGGGAGAAGGAGTGCGTTCCTGGTGCTCTGTGTGCAGCCTGGAGAGCCCATGCAGCCGTCAGCATTGCTGATCCTTGCCTGGGTTAGCTTAGATCCTGGGACCTCTGGCCAGAACCCAAGGTGTGAGGTGGGTAAGAGGGCACCCTTCTGGTTCGTTAGCAGAAACCTGGTAAATCATATCCCCCTTCTACCAAGTACCATTTTTCTCTTGTAAACTTTTTAGTGAGGTATGCAGAGCTGAAGTGTACGAGTCGGTAATCGTTTGCATGCGTGCATCCCACATAGCCTCCACTCGGGTCTGACAGAGATGTTTCCTCTGGTCCTCTCCACCCACCCACTTCAGATCTCCACTCTTGTGACTCCTATCTGTAGATTTGTTTTTCTTGTTCTGCACCTTTACATAAATAGAATTATGTAGGATACAGATATATCTTGTGTATCCGGGTTCACACAAGATATATTTGTGAGACTCTTCAGATGAGGCAATGGAGACTCAGAATACAAAGGATTTTCAAGGTTGAATCCCTAGTTAGTTACAGAGTTAGGACTAGACTCTCATCACCGGAACCCCAGACTTCTGCCTTTTCTTTGCAGCCGGTTCTCTACATGGAGGAGGACAGGCACCAGGATTTATGCATTTTTTCCCTCTGTGAGCGAGTGGAACAAAGGCCTTGGGGCTGACTGTGGAGCAGAAGCAGGTTCCTACTCTGATGACTCACAGGGAATGTCACCCTAGGCTGCAGGGCACTTGAGCTCCTGATGGCGTGTGACTGCCGTCACATCGCAGGAGGCACGCCGGGGAGGGGTAGCCACAGGTTTCAGACCGTGATACATTGTACGGTGAGCACTGTGACCAGGGAAGCATGTGGCTCTCCCGAGGCCCCTTGGTGGCAGTCACATGCAGAGCAGAGTGCTTTCTGAATATGGTTCAGAGGCAAAGGTAGGCAGGTGTCAGAGGGGCGTCTTCCCTGCCCCTCTCTCTGGAGGGGAGCCTGAGGCTCTGGTTCCCCTCCGGCTGCCCTGGCTGGTTGCTGCCCACTCCGGTGATGCTGCCTGGGCTGGGTCTCAAGACACTGTCCTTGACCTGCAAGGTCACTGTCCCCTCGATATTCTGTTCCTTTCCTGATGCTTTTCAGGCCCCACTACTGCCTCTTAACTCATCTTCGTAGCCATGCAAGGCAGCTCTTGGCTTTCAGGGTGTTGCGGGGAGCAGTTCTGTGCCTGAGTCTGGATCAGAAGGGTTAGGAACAGGGTGCAGGTGAGGGAGTGGCCAGAAGCCTGGGCCTGGGATGCAGGGATAGTCTCTCCTTTGCCTCGCAAGTCTTATGTGAGGGTTTGCAGAGAGGTAGATGGGAAGAGAATTAAAACCAGCGGTTGAATGTGACACGACTCGTGATCCCTTTAATCCCGACCCCAGCTTTCGTGGTAGTACAGCCACTCCAGAATGTTCCTGGGGTGCCATTTCTCCAGGCCCCCACCCTCGCTCCTCCCTCCCTGCCTTCCTGCCTTGCTTTCTCTCCCATGTCTGCCATGGCGCCAAGCGACTGGGTGGCCAGCCTGAATCGATTACACTCCACAGAGCCTTCCCTTTGCCACTCACCTGGAAACTGGGTCTCACGAAGGCTGACACCTGATGGGCTGACCTAGAAATCAGACCTGCCTCTTCCTGTGGTGTCTTCAGCCTCCCAATCATCCCCTCCATCTTGCGAGCATTGTTCACTCTGTTGGACCTAAGCGAGGCATTCTGGATACCCCGGGGAGGCAGAAGAGGCCCCGTGAAAAACAGCCCCATTCGCCCGTGTGCCAGGTGTGCGAGCAGGCTCGCCGGTGCGTGCAGCCTGGGCACGTGCTGCCACGCGCTCTGACTCCACATCTTCCTGCAACATCGGTCCCTGGGGCTCCACATAGCTGCGCAGCCCACAAGGGAGACAGATGTTAAGGTACCATCCCAGGGAAAAAAAGATGCTTTCAGCCAAGGTTGGAAATGAGTTGGAGGGTTGATGAGGCGGAGAGCTGCGGGGGGAGGCTCCTTCCGAGGGCAGCGCTCTCAAAGGAGATGGCAGCCATGCTGCTTCCATCTGCATCAGTCAGACGGTCAGGGGACTGAGAGGAAGCCAGGCTTTGGAAGGAGGGGACATGGAGCCCGGACAAGACCGATTCTGGTCTGAGTTCTGACTTTGGGAAAGAGAGAAGGAGAGGTCTGACGGTATATTCAGCTTTTCTCCTCCCCTCCCCAGTACCAAGGGCTGCAGTGTGATTCCTAATCCCTGCTTTCTTGTGCTGTTCTGCTCTGCTCCTGCCTGCTGCCTTCCATCTGCTGTGGTGTAGAGCTGGCGGGAGAAGGGGCTGTGAGTCCTCAGCGGGGGGACCAGCTTCTCTATTTGAGTCTTGCCGGGTCTTCTTGGATTTGGGTTCTGCCCACACGTTCCTGCTGAGGTGGACTGAGCTACTGTGCCAGGCCTGCAGCAGCCCGAACGCCACATTTGCTGAGATAAGTTTCTGTCTAGTGGCTTAGGGACAGGGAGTGCAGGCTTGGACTGGCCTTCAGAAAGTCACTTCGCAAGGTGAAACACTGTGTCCTGCTTAGGCTTTCATTGCCGGAAGTTTTCTAACTTTCACTCTGGGTATTCCTTGAAGATCCAGAAAACAAGCAAAACCACAGCTCTCTCTACTCTGTAGACGCTTTGTAAACTAATCCCATTGTTCCTTGCCACCTGGGTCTGTATTCAGGTTAGCTCTGAATTTCTTTCACCCATTTCCAAACACTGGATTAACCCCGAGCAGATGAAAACCTGCCACCACCACAGAAACAGAGCATAGAACCCCTCTTGCACTTTCAGTACATTTTTGTCTCAGAAGGATCTCCTGCCTATCTGCTTGGTGGTGAGGGAGGGTTTTTTTCCATTCCCTGGACCTCCATGGGATGTTTTTCCCTAGAACTGGGATTGAACCGAGCAGTTTTGCACTGAACCACATCCCCAGATCCCTAGCTTTTCATTTTTTATTTTCTTTTATTTTGAGACAAGGTCTTACTAAGTTTCTCTGGCTGGGCTCAAACTTGTGTTCCTCCTGCTTCAGCCGCTCAGAGTGCCGGGATTATAGGCGGGTGTCACCATGCCTGGCTTCCATGGACTGTTGCAGGCTTTAGGGCTGCTGCTTTTCCTATGAGTTCATGTACATTAGCTTCTGCTCAGCTTGGGAGGCAGAGAGCAGGCTCTAGGGACTGTTCCCAAATAGCTGGCGTGAATCTCACATAGCAAGCAGAACCCAAGTGGAGACCGGAAATGGGCCTGAGCCATTCTGGGGAAAATCTACTGGGAACAGCACTTCGCCCTCCTTGCTGCTGCCAGCTCTTGAGCCACAGCTTCAGGTTTTGACCTCAGGCCACAACCTACCAGCTGTGCTGCCCTTCTCCTTGCTGCATTTTTTTTGCCTGCCCTGTATGGTCTGCGTTGGGTATGTGACTCTGACCTGGGCCCTCCTTTGGAATTCTCTGTGTGATGTTTTGTGTCTGTCTGAACTCAATGCTGAAGGTGGACGGATAGTAACTCTGCAGTGATAAGCTGTTCCCCTCCTGCAGGCCATCCCCAGAACCTTCGGGTCTCCCAAAGCACCTCTCGGCGCCTTCACTAGAAGTCCGGGAAGAGGCAGTGGCCCAGGAACTTGAGGAAGACCAGAGGCGGCTGCTGGAATTGCGGCAAGAGAAGATGGAGCAGCTTCGGAGAAAGCTGTGGCAAGAGGAGGAAGAGGAGATGCGGCAGCTTCAGCAGAAGAAGGAGAAGTCTCTCAGGTCCTGGTGCTCCCCTGTGGCCTGCGCCCCTGGCTGTGCAGGACCATGTGGATTGAGGGACACCCTGTTCCTGCCCTGGACGCCACTGGGATGCCATTGTCCCGGCTTTACCCAATAATTTCTGCTCCTAACTCGTTGGTTCCCCTTCGTTGTACAGGAGACTAGAAAGTGCAGTCCTTTAGCTTCTTTGGGTGCTAAAATAAAATCAGGATTCTGTTAATAAGAAGAAAGGAAAGGCAGCCTACAGAATGGGAAAACAAATTTTGCCTGCTCTTCCTCAGTCTTCTAAATATCTAGAGTTTATAAAGAACTTAAAAAAAATTAGACTCCTTCCGAAATGAAAAGACTCAGTCAAAAAACAGGCCAGGGAAATGAATAGACATTTCACAGAAGGAGAAATACAGATGACCAATAAATACATAAAGAAATGTTCAACATTGCAGGCCATTACAGAACTGTGAATTAAGACAACACTGAGGGTCCATCTTACCCCAGAAATTATTATTTAATTTCTCATTATGAAATTAAATAATAACAAATCTGGAGAGGCTGTGGGGAGAAAGGGACCCTTCTGTATTGTTGGTGGGATTGTAAACTAGTACAACCACCATGGAAATCAGTGTGGAGATTCCTCAGAGAACTAAAACTACAACTACAAATTGTATTTGACCCAGCTCTTCCCCTTCTAAGTCTCTTCCTGAGTTAAAGACATCACATCGCAGTGATCCATGCATCCCCATGTTTATAGCAGTGTAATTCGTGATAGCTAAATCTTGGAAGTGGCCTCTATGGCCATCAACAGATGAATAGATAAAGCAAAAATAAATAGCAAAGTAGAAGACAGATAATAGGAAGTAGGGAGATAGGTCATTCTCACATGGGGAGGGGGTCAAGAGATGGAGGGAAGGGGAAGGGAAAAAGGATTTAAAAACAAAGAAAAGAGGGCAAATGGAGATTGCAAAGGGAAGCCCACGGGTGGTAAAGGTCTTACAGGAAAGTGTTAACATATGTCATTTGCTTGGCACGTTAACAGATAACTTCTGTCCTTTTAGGCAGAACGTCCAAGAGTAGTAGAGAGTTATTATATTATTTTTAGATCCTATGTAGCAAACTACAGCATGCAGCATATGTATAAAACCTTTATGCTTACTTTGGAGAAAATAGGACAGAAAACCAACACCTGAGCATGGAGAGGGTTGCAGGGCAATCTCCCAAGAGCCCACACAAGATCTGCAGATGCAGAGTTTATGTTTCTGTCAAGCCCCCTTGGGTCGCCTGCTAGGGAACATTGCACAAAACAGATCTCCTTATGTCATGCTCTTCCAGCAAATGGAGATGGGGGCTGGAGCCTGCCCAGGCAGGGTGGGTCTCCATGTACCTTAAGATGCACGAGGAGGGGATGTGTGGGGCCTCCTTCCCTGCCCGCCAGGCTTGCCCTCTCCCAGGCCGCCCTTGCTTGGCTGCCTCTGCTTTCCTTTCTGTCTCTGAACCATGGGGCTCTTCCAGGATCCGTCTCAGTTTGTGGTGCACAGTAGCATCTTGAAAGTGTCTGATTAGGGCCTGGACATAGATGCTCCATAAATGACAGCATTCACTTTTTTTTTGGAACCGGGAGTCAAACTCAGGACCTCACACTTGCCAGGCAGGTGCTGTGCCACTGAGTTATACCATTCACATTTGCTTTTATTTTCAGTTGAATTTACAGTTTCAGCCAGTCTTGATTAGTGATTTCTCTGTGAGTAGGGCTGTCTTCGAAGTAGGTCGTCAAGAGAACCCTATTCCTCTTTGCTCTAGAGGCTTTCTATGGGATGGGGCTTCCTCCTGTCTGCTGGGAAACTTCCTCTGGGTAGAAGATTCTGGAAGTTATAACTGATCCCATAACAAATATTCTTTGAGTGAGAAGGCAGGAGGAAGAAGGCAGGCAGGCTGACCCCCAGTTTCTTTACTTGTAAATGAAGACATTGGACTTCGCCGCTAATGTTCCTGCCAGCACTAACATTCTGTGTTGCTATGTAAATTTAGCCATGGGAAAAAGAGAAAGGGTTTCTTGGGAATCTGGAGGGAAAGCTTTTTGCTTAACTCAGATTTCCTCTCGTAATGGAAGAGAGTGGTAGTACTGATAACTTGCAATAGGAAACAATCCTAAATCTTTTTGGCTTTGGAATTCACTGCAGAACTTTTCAAAGAAATTGTCTTCGGAACAATGTTTGTCTTAGTTCTGAATTCCCTGAGTGTGCAGTGTACATCCCCTGGTATTGTGAACTGCACGGGGAGGCTGTAGTTTGTATAAGCAGGGTAGTTTGTCTGCTTAGGGTGAAATGGGCAATCACTGCTCTATAGACCGACACCTTTCATGGATTGTCAAGCCTTGCTTATGCTTTGGGGATGGATGACATTGTTCAAATCCAGGACACATTTATTGAGTGCCTGTTTGATGTCTGTTCTACCTTGTGTGCTTTTAGGATATAACAGGTTTTAAGGCAATGTTCGTGCTCTGAAGAAGCTCCCAGACTTACAAGGAAAACAGATAAATTATGATGCACTATGCAAGGTAGCACAGGATGAGAAAGGTCCACAACGCAAGTGTGGTGGGAATGTTGAAATAATGAACTTTGGGTTGTTAAGACCTCTCAGAGAGATGGAACTGAGTGTTGAGCAATGGATGTGAGTTTTTCAGGAAAAAGAAAAAGGAATTTGAGGCAGAGGAATCAGCATGAGCAAAGGCCAAGAGGCAAGGAAGAGTATGGTGGGGCTTAGGTTTGATCTGATACACCTAGAACAGTGTTGGAGTGGTGGAGTTCACAGCCATAGGAGGCCTGATGGGACGGCACAATGGACCCAGAGGCCCAGGTTAGACTTCTCTTTAAGTCTGAGGCTACTGTGCAGCTCTTGGCTGAGAGGCGGGGAATATGAACAGAGCAAGAAATGCCTCTGTGGTCCCTCTGTCTAACCTGCCTTTCTCTTCCTGCTCAGTTCCCTGAAGGAGCAGCTGCAGAAAGCCACCGAGGAGGAGGAAGCTCGGATGAGAGAGGAGGAGGGTCGGAGGCTGTCCCGGCTCCGAGCCCAGGTCCAGTCTAGTGTGGAAGCAGATGAGGAACAAATCAGGTGAGTGTACCCTGGGACCTGTGCAGCCCCGTGGAGGTGACAGTCCAGAGCGTTTCCCTATCTTGTTCTTGCTCCCCAGAGCTGAGCAGGAGGTGTCTCTGCAGAGGATAAGAGAAGAGTTCGAGGCTCTAGAAAAGACCGAAAGGGCCAGCTTGGAACAGAAAAGCAGGCGGACGCTTGAACAGCTCAGGGAAGAGTTCGAGGCCTCGGAGGAGAGAGCGCGGGCTGCCTTGAAGACGGAGAAGGAAGAGGCTTTGCAGCAACTGAGGCAGCAGCTGGAAGGGGAGAGGAAAGAAGTGAGCGAGGCAGATGGGGATCCCACTTGTCCGCTCTGGGCTGTGTGGGGAGGGACTGAGGCAGAGGCGGAGGAAGGGCACACTTAAATGGGTGTCAGGGTGGGGTGCCAGGCACGCTGGTGTCACGTGCAGGCAGTTATGAGAAACAAGAGCTGACTGTCTGGGCCCTTTGTGAAGCTGACGTAGCTCTTGGCAGGGGCTGGCCCTGGGCTCCTTGGCCTGGCAGAAGATGCAGCAGGTGTCTAGAGGCCCTCCAGGGTCCAGCTGGGCTAGAGGCAGCAGCTGGGCACTGTCAATGGCAAGGAGCCATCAGAGGCTTGTGGGGGAAATGTCCTGTGGTTTGGGAAGGTGTCACAACTGACAGAACATCATCCAGGCCAGAGGACTTGAGAGGAGGGCGTCCTGTCCCTGTCCCTGAGGACCCGCTGCAGTGGCTTCTGTCTGCCTGGTTTCCTCTCTGGTCTTAGAATGAGAAGCCAGTGCCTTGGAAGGGGCTTTGTCCTCTGTCCACACCTCCCCCTCCAGCTTGATGGTCTACCTCCAGGGGACACCAGTGTGCCAGGCAGGCCATACAGACATTTCTTTTCCTTTGGTGAGGAGTGTCACCTGTGAGACAGCAAGATGGAAAAACTGCAGCAAGATGAGGGTGTGTCATTGTCTGCGGGTGTTCGAGAGAGCACGCTGCGCTCCAGCCTCCCTGGCTTGGATCTTACGGCCACATCATTCTAACCATGGCTAACCCAGGGGCGAGGTGTGGGAACAGGACCCGAGGCCTGCTGGAGTGGCCCTCTGCTCCGGCCTTTGTGTTCTGTCCTTGTGCCGGTTGCAGTCCCTAAGGGGCTGAGCTATTTCAGAGCAACAACCGTGTACTGTGATTTCCCTTAGTCCTTTATCTCAAGGAGGTTGGGGTGATCTTCCTGACTCTGCCTTCCTCTGGTCACTGCCCGGCCAGTGTCCCTGCCCTGCTTCCCTCACAGGCCCTTTGCTGCTCCCCAGGCAGTGGCAGCGCTGGAGAGGGAGCACAGTGCTGAGCTGGAGCGGCTCTGCTCCTCACTGGAGGCCAAGCACCGGGAGGTGAGACTCGGCTGAGAGGGCAGAGCCCAGGCACCCAGGACTCCTTCATGCTGGTCAGCAGAAGAGCTCCCCTTCTCTGGCTCCTGGGGTGCAAGCCTGCCTATCCTTCCAGGCCCCTGGGATGGGTGTGGGGATCCTGGGAGCGAGTCCCCATATGGTGGCTCTACTGTGTCCTGGGCATCACACTGGTGCCTCCTCAGGTCGTCTCTGGCCTCCAGAAGAAGATAGAGGAAGCTCAGCAGAAAGAGACAGCCCGGCTTCAGGAGAACCTTGGGTGGGCAGAGCAGAGAGCTCACCAGAAGGCGCACCAGGTGGTTGAGTACGAGCAGGAGGTGAGTACTGGTTGGTGTCGCAGGCCTCATTGGGGTCTGGTTGGCCATCCTGGCCCGAGCACGCTCCTCTTCGCTTTCGTGGCTCGGTGAGGCTGGGCACTTGGGCTCTGTTTGCCCAGGCCCTGGCACTGCGCCTGTGGGGAAGCGGTGTGTGTGTGTGAGATGGTGTGGGGTGGGTGGGCACACTGGGGTGCTCTGGTGCTGCCCACCTGAGTCCTGTAAGCTGCATCCCTGCTGTGTGTCCTGCAGCTCAGCAGCCTCCTGCGAGAGAAGCGGCAGGAGGTGGAAAGGGAGCATGAGAGAAAGCTGGACAAGATGAAGGAGGAGCACTGGCAGGCCATGGCTGAGGCCCGGGAGCTGTATGAAGCCGAGGTAGCTCAACCGTGTCCCATGCCCCCCTCCCCTCCTCTGCTACCGTGTGTGGCGGGAGCAGCCACCTGCGGCCAGGGACTGTAGGGGGCTTCCTCCCCAGCACCCTCCATGGCTGGCTGCTGCTCTCTCTTTTAATGAAATGGTGACAGTAGCTGCCCTCCTGGGCTCGCACTGTGTGGCAGGAGCTGTGCTAAGCTCTTTTGCTATCACGACCCTTTGCTGAGTCCTTGAAACAGCCTTGGGAAGTGTGTCACTGTCTTCATTTTAAAGAAGAGGACTCTCAGTCTTGGGGAGTTCAAGTCACTTTCCCAAGATGGCACCACTAATTAGTAAGGGACTGGAAGTTCCAGCACAGCTGTCCAGCTCCAAAGCCCTCAGTTTTAGTCATTCCAACGGCAGGCCACCAGGGCTGATGGGATTTCAGGACACCAAGAAATAGACTGTCAAGAGCCAAGCAATATTTAGATATTATCGGCCCGTCTTCATCTTGGCCTTAAGGTGGGAATGTTCAGTTTCTTGAGTGAACACTGGCTGGCTTCCTTTGCCTGTGTTGGAGGTAAATAGTAGGTGGGGACCTTAGTCCACAGCTGGGCCCTTGGGGGGCTTTTAGGCTCCTGCTCCAGTAAATGGAATCCGTACCCCAGCCTCTACAGTCTTCTGGGACAGCGATAATAGTTCCACGATGCAATGTAGCTTCCTACCTTCCCAGGCCAATTCTGACCTCCCTGAGGACTGCACTAACTGATGAACGGACTCTTCACTAAGGAGGAAGGCTGTCTGGCCAGCTTCTGCTTTGTTGGCTAGTGTTGGGGGCAGGCAGACTCCATTGGGGCTGGGACTGAGAGCTGGTCTTGGGGTGCAGGTAGTGACCACAGTGTTACTGACCCGAGGCTGAAGGGGTAGAGGAGACTGATTTGGGAGGTGCCAGGAGTCCTGCAGGTTCCCAGCCACAGTTCCTCTCCCCTTTACAGGAGAGAAAGCAGCGGGCCGACCTCCTGGGGCACCTGACTGCAGAGCTGGAGCGGCTGCGGAGGGCCCACGAGCGAGAACTGGAGATTGTGAGGCAGGAGCAGGAGCAGCAGCTCGAGGACCTGCGGCGCCGGCACCGGGAGCAGGTGGAGGCGTGGGAAGGGCCCGCTTGTGCAGCTCTGTGCAGGATGGGAAAGTGCTGGGAGCTGAAAGCTGGCCGCAGCAGGATGGGGTGCTGACAGCTTCAGGAGTGGGGGGCTTTCTCTGCCCATATGTTGTTTCTTGAGACAGGCTCTTGCCATGTAGTTCAGGCTGGCCTTGAGCTGTGGTGATCTTTCTGTCTCAGCCTCTGAAGTGCTGAGATGACAGGTGTGCACCGTCACACCCGGCTGTCTCTCTACCCATATTGAAGCTTGCGGCCTCTTTACTCCTTTGTTTTCTGAGCCAGGGAAAATGCTCAGGACTAGAAGATGAGGCATTGCCCTTGTAAGGCTTGGGGCTGGCGTGTCTCCCTCTGCTTGTCCCCGCGGGGCATCAAGCTGTGGTGCATTCCTGGGAGGCAGCATGGGGTCACGGGGAAGAAGCCAGCCTGAGCCCAGCCCAGAGGCTCTAGTGTGGTACGGTGGGTTCTGGACCCTCCTCCTCCCCTCAGCTAATGCGTCATACTCTTTCTCCCCTTACATCCTCTCTCCACTGTACTCCTGGGCAGGAAAGGAAACTCCAGGACTTAGAGGTGGAACTTGAAACCAAAACTAAAGAAGTCAAGGCCAGAAAGGCTCAGCTGGATGTCCAGGTGAGGGGCAGGAGTCCCCTTCTCCAGGGAGGGCAGGCCCTACCCCTCATATCAGGGGTCTGCAGTCAGCCCAAGGGCTCATTTTCCGCAGGAGGAGACTGTGAGGAAGGAGAAGCAGCAGCTGCTTGATGTACAGAGGCAGGTTGCTCTGGAGAGTGAGGTTTGTCTGCCTCCCTTGTCCTCCCTCTGCTTTTCCGTCACCCCTCCAGGCCCCCTTTTGTTCACCTGCTGTGTCCAGGACGCTGGGCTCCAGGCTGTGTGGACCAGTACTGCACAACTCATGCCCTTGTGGACCCCGACTTGGGAGCCTCGGGTGTGCGCTGTGCGGGAGGCCAGGCACTTTCAGACCCCTGACCCCAGAGACGGTGACTTCAGAGGCTCTGACTTCCCTGATCGTTTTCTAGCTTCCTTACTCTTGAGGGCTGCCTGCACCCTCCCTTCTTCCCATGTGTCTCCAGCTGTGTCTTTCTTTCCTTCCATCTCCAGGAAGCTACAGCCACCCATCAGCACCTGGAAGAGGCAAAGAAGGAGCACACCCACATGGTGGAGTCAAAGAGGCAGCTCCGAAGGATTCTGGACGAGCTGCAGGCCCGCAAGCTGGAGCTGGAGTCTGAAGTGGATCTGCTGCAGGCGCAGAGTCAGAAGCTGCAGAGGCGCATCAGGTGCTGTGGGCACCCTGCCCCTGGCCACTTGGCCAGCTCCCTCCTGCTTGTCCTCTGCCCGCTGCTGCTCTCAGGCCCCGTCTCATCAGGGTCCAGCTAATAAGGAGAGGTGGAGGGTGCAACGTGGGGGCCGGGCAGAAGGATGTGTGTGTGCTGCATTTTGCAGGGAGTAGCATGTTGAGGCTGTGAAAAGCAGGATCCCTGGTTCTACTGTGTCATGTCTCAGCCCTGCCTAGTGACTTCAGTGGGAACCAAGGCGTGGAAATGGTCTTGACAGTGTGCTGCCCCGCTTGCTTCATCGCAAGACCCTGTCTCACTTCTCACCTCCCTCTCCCTTCCCTACCACAGCAGCCTGGAGGCTGAAGCTCAGAGGAGGCAGAACATCTTGAGAGAGCTGGTGGCTGGGGAGAACAATTCTTCTATGCATTTTGAGCCAGATCTCCACATTGAGGACCTGAGGAAATCTCCTGGGACAGTGAGCTGGGGCCTGGGTGCGGGGAGCAGCAGGAGGGCGGGCTACTAGGAGCGGGGCGTGGCTGTGCTCTGTTTGGGATCTGGCCTCCTTTTCTTATTCCCAGCCCTTGGCTATCTCCACCGTCCATTGGAACCTATAGGTGAAGAGTGCCTGGCAGCTGGCAGAGCCATTTCCTTGCCTGGCCACTGGGAGGGGCTTCAGGATCTCTTGAGCCCACAGGGTGTCAGCTTTTGCTGTGCTCAGTGGGTCTTTTCTTGTGTTCATAGAAGCAGATCCAAGAGGTATCTTCCCCTTTCTCCCAGAACAAGGAGGAGACCATCTTGTCCTCGGACAGGTGGGTTTCCACATCCTGCCTTATTGAGGGTACCATGAAGGGGTGAGTGAGAGCCTGTGTTACAGAGCCAAAGTGACAGTGACTACCTGTGGGGCTTGGTTCAGGGGGTGGCCAGGGAGGAATCTTCTCTGCCAAGCCAAGAAGCAGCCCATTGTGACCCTTGATGCAATATGCTGGCATCTGCTGACCTCTGGTTGTGGATCAGACTGCTGGGAGTGTCTGGCCATCTGTTCACAGGCTCCAGGCGTGTCCCTTTCAGATCAGGGTGGAGGGACTCTTTAGTCCCACATGCCACGTGCTGTAGGTATTTAACAGTGGGGTTCCGGCGCTGCCCAGCTGCCGCTCAGCAGCTAGCTCCTGTGTGTGCTTAGGGCATTTGCTGAGAAAGTGGCCATGGGTCCCAGAGCAGGTTTCTAAAAGTCTTTTCTTTGCTCCTCCACTTCCCTTCCCTGCCTGTCCTGCAGTGTCCGGCACTACCTCTCTGCCGAAGGGATGGCTGTCCGTAGTGCCAAGGAGTTCCTGGTGCGGCAGACACGCTCCATGAGGAGGCGGCAGACAGCCCTGAAAGCTGCCCAGCAGCACTGGCGCCATGAGCTGACTAGTTCCCAGGAGGAAGCGGATGACCCGCCGGGCACCAAGGCCCTGGAAGATGTGCGCAAGAACTTGGAGGAGGTCAGTACCTGGAGGAGAGCTGCCAACCCTGTAGTGGAAGGCCTAGGGATGCCAGTGGAACCTTCGCCTTTAGGCTGTCCTTAGCTGATCAGTCCGGGGGCTCCAGGGCAAAAACCACCTGGGCCTTGGGGTCACTTACATTTACATGGCAACACAGCATTGCAAACAAATGCCTTCTTTACTAGCAAATTGTTTGAGCTTCATGTCAGATGTATATATAATGTGCAAGGTAGTACAGATTAAAAATCCTTTCAACCAGCAAAGGCTATGCAAGTATTCTAGAATCTGAAAAACCCCGGAATTGGAGGCACTTCTGTTTCCAAGCATTCTGATAAGAGATACTCACCCTGTATTATTATTCCCATTTTCTAGGTGAAGAGTAGGACCAAGGTTTAAAAGTTTTCAGATCCAGTGCTTTGCTTTTCCATTATGTAACAATAAAGACCGAATTTGTAAATGAAAATCTTTTGGACACACTCAGCTTGAAGTCTGAGTTCCTTTTCTGGTTGGCCTTTCTTATGGGCTAATTTATGTGACAAGGATTATTAGCTCGTGTTATAGAGCTTTGCACCTGTTGGGGCTTGGGCAGGGCGGGCTGTCTTGGATCACACCTGGGCTTTTGACTTCTGATGGTGCAAGAACGGGTGAGGGTGCTTAGCCCTGCGGTCCCTGTGCCTGGCATGGGGCAGCAGAGGGCAAGGGGCTGGTACAGACAGGAGCAGGCCTCCCAGGGGTGAGTACGTGCTTCCTCCAGGGCCTGTGACTGCCCTCCTTACTCCCCCTGAAGGATGGTGGTGATAAATACTTGCAGCAGTGATGATAACTCCAGTAACCATTGGAGAATTTACTAGGTGTGGGCGTGGTGTTATGCATTCACATACCATATCTCTCTTCATTCTCTCAACCTACTGAGGGTAGTATTTCTTTTCCTCAGATGAGTAAGCAGACAGAAGTAATTTGTTCAAGACCACCCCGCCAGCATATGGTAGAGCTAGGGCTCCAGCATCTGTGTGGTTGGTCCATTCGCCTCCCCTTCCTTCCTGGCTGCAGGAAACCAGGCACTTGGATGAGATGAAGTCAGCCATGCGGAAAGGCCACGACCTGCTGAAGAAGAAGGAGGAGAAGCTGAGCCAGTTGGAGTCCTCTCTTCAGGATGAGGTGTCTCCTGTGGCCACATGGCCTAGTGTGGCTGTGGCTTCCTTCTGTCCCAGGATTGGGTTGGGTTGTTCCTTAGTCCTGGATCCGGGGGAACTAGACCTCTAGGACCCAGAATTGGGCGTTGGCTCTGGGCTTCTGGCTGAGAAATGGCCATGGTTCTTGCTGTTCGGCAAACATGTCTGTGGGTTTAGATGGACCTGAGCAGCCCTGGAGCTGCTTGTGAAGGGCCAGAGAAGGGGAATGCTCTTGCTCTTCCCTGCTCTGGTTCCTGAGGAGAGCTGTGAGCGGTGTGTGAGAGTGGACATGGGTCACAGGTGTCCTTCCTTTCCCTGGGGCCATATACACTTTACCCTGCATTCTAGGGGCTTGGAAGTGGCATCAGTGAAGCTCAGGTGGAGAAACACTGCAGGGACAGCGTGTGGGAGAGAGCAGTGGGGTCCTCCCAGTCCTGGTGGCCCTGTGTCTGCATATCTGGCAGTAGGGCTCTCAGCCTTGCCTCTTCCTGAGGCAGCTTGTGTGGTATGCCTCTCTCAGATGCCTGGCAGAGCTCTGGGACCCAGGGAAGCCGATCACCGAGGTCTCAGTTCCACTTATCACAGGGGCAGCGGGGTAGGAAGCACACAGGAAGGGGCAGCACTGATAGCTGCTTCTACCCATCAGGCCTCAGAGGAGGACACTCCGAGAGGGAGCCCCGCCAAGAAGGTGGTGACCTTCGACCTCAGTGACACAGAAGACCTGAGCAGTGAAAGTTCCACATCCTACCCGCTGCCTTTTGGTGAGTGATAAGCAGCAGCAGGGAAGGGAGGGAGGGAGGGAGGGAGGGACAAATAAGGTGAAGCCTACAGTATCTGTGAAGAGGGACGAACATTGAGGACCTGGCCACAGCACCTTCCCTCAGCCGGCGGGTAGGTGTGTGGGAGCTGGTGTCTGGACTCGGTACTTGGTAAATGGTGGGGAGGAGTGAAACCCACCTGGGGCTGCAGTACCAGTGCCGGAAGGGTCAGGGATGCCTTCTGAGTGCTGCCAGGTGTCCCTGTAGCCCTTTCTCCCCCAGGCCTCTAGGGAGGCCGCCTGTGCTCTGCTACTATGTCCTGTGAGCGGAAGGCCCTCTGCCTTCCTTCCCTCCAGGTTCTGGGCCTCTGCCCCAGGGTCTGCACTGTCAGGACCACAGAAGCCCTGCTGCCCTCTGTCCCTGTCATGAGGCTGAGGGGCAGCCAGTGGGGGGCTGCAGTGCCAGATGCGTCTGGAATGTTCCAGAGCCTTGAAGCTGTGTCTTTCCCCAGCAGCTGCACCAGCCCTTGAAGCTGGGTCCTGCCTCTTTCCTTTCAGTCACCCAGACCCCAAGTCCTGCCTTCCCCAACAAGATCCATTACCTGAGCAGCTCCCTGCAGCGGATCAGCAGCGAGCTCAATGGTGTCCTCAGCGTGCTGGGCAGCCTCAGCACTCAGCCGCCGCCGCCACTCTTCACCTCCTCGCCGTCCTCCAGGAGTGCCTCTATTCCCACCTTCTCCTCCCTGAACAGGGCCTCAGCCTCGTCCCCTGCTGTGCCCACGTCTACCCAGTGGGCTTGGGACCCGGGGCTGGGCCCTCGGCTCTCCTCCTCCGTGGCTCAGACAGTGGATGACTTCCTGCTGGAGAAGTGGCGCAAGTATTTTCCCTGTGAGCCTCCCTCTGGGCCCTGGTTTGAGCCTTCTGCCTCCTTCCTCTGTCTTCCTTCTCTTCTATCCTCTTCTACTTTTCCTTTTTGTCCTTTTATTTTGCCAACCTCTTTCCCCTGCCCCCACTTTGGTCCTTTGGCTTTGTCTGTGGATTCCTGGTGAAGATCTTGCTGGTGGCTCTGTGGCTCGAGGTTCTGCCAGCAGGATGGCTTCCACGGAGCCTGGCCTGCCGGGGCCCTCTATTCTAGATTCTAGAGTTCAGCAGAACCTAAAAGGTTATAGTTGTCATTGTCATAACTGCTACCATCTTATGCAATCATTATAGGCCAGGCAATATATAGATATATACATATATTATTTTCTTGTTCATTTAGTCCATATGGTAATTCTCTGTGGTGGTAATTGCTTATCCCCATTTTACAAATGAGTGAGCTGAGGCTTAGTGAGGTTAAGTAATATGCTTTGGAATCTCCAGTGAGTTTTGACCCTAGGTTTGACACTGAGTTCTGACTTCATGTCTCAGACTTGAAAAATTGAAAAATAAGCCAGGTATGGTGGGGCACGCCTATAATCCCAGCACTCAGGTGGCCGAGGGAGGAGGATCACTTCTAGTTCAAGGACAGCCTGAGGTATATAGTGAGACCCTACCTAAAAAATAAAAAAAATTTGAAAAAGAAATTAGGTTTTAGGGGTAAAGTAAAATAGGATGGTTCCTGTCTGTTGCCTGTCTCCTACATCCAACCACTGAAATTTCCCCTGCTTTTGCATTCATTCTGGGGGCGCTGCCTTGCATCTATTTCTGGGGAGGCAGGAGGTGCTAGTGAGCAGGGAGGGGCCTGCTGGGACCTGGGTCTTGCTCAGCTCACTCACTGCTGTCTCTGAACTCTTGCCCCCACTTTTCTAGCCGGCATCCCCTTACTCAGCAGCTGCCCTCCCCCACTGGAGAACAGGCTGGGCTACACGTCTGCCAGGTAAGCCTGCTTGGGTTTGGTGGGACAGTCAAGCTGCTTGCTGTCCCCGCTTGGGTAGGCAGCACTTCTGAGAGGAGCAGGCCTCATGGTCCTGTTGCCTCAGGAGGTCAGGCAGGTCCCCGGGCCACAGAGATGCCCTTGTCCTGCCTAAGTCTGAGGTGCCCCTCCACAGCCAGGGGAAGGTCAAGTCCTTACTGCTGAGGTTGGGCTGGGGTGGTTGGGGCTGGGCTTACCCAGCCAGCTCCATGAGGAAGCAACTGTGGGGAGAAATCAGCCCATGGAGGAGCCATGCATCCTGCCCCATCCCATCGCCCTTCCAGCCCTGGAATTTGGAGTTTGGCCTTTGTCTTTGCTATTGAGCTCTTTGTTTGAATGCTTCCTACATCTCTCTGCTTCCGTGACTCTTGCTGAGCAACATCTGGAGTGAGAGGGACACCCGGTGGGGGTGACAGACGGGCAATTATTTAGACCTGTTATTAATTTCCCATTCATCTTATTCTGTGCCAAATGCCCCTCCTTCGCCTCAAGCCCCAGCCATCTCTTTGGGCCAACTTGGGAGCTGAGTTGATAGAGGGGAGCTTCTTGCTTAATGAGATTGGCTAGAATAGGCAGATGTGGGAGCTCAGAGTGGGTGTCGGTAGCAAACCTCCAGGAGCAGGGTGGAGGGCAGCTATCAGGGAGGAGAAGACATGATGCTTGTCTTTCTGTTTTTTAAAAAAATGACGCCCCACTTTCCCGGTATGTATTCATAGTGAAAATGAAGATCAAGGGAGCTTTTGCCCTTCTGTGCTTGTCTTTCTGTAGCGGCAGTTTTGAGTTGCTCAAGAGATCCTGGTACAGAGAGGAAGAGAGAGGAGGTGGCATGATGGCCTCCAGTTGGCTCTGCCACACATCCCCCTTCCTAAGACTCTCATCCTCTCCCCCTCCTCTCCTCCTTCCCAGTGAGCAGCTCCGCCTCCTGCAGCGGCCCCATTCCGGAGTCCCCGAGGTGGGCAGCGCCAGCATCCAGGGCATGATTGAGGCCAACCGCAAGTGGCTAGACCGTTTCAAGAAGGACCCCAAAGTGTATCCTTTTAGCAGGTCCCCAAGCCCCAGTCCCCTCTTGCAGCAGCTGGCTGGCTGAACTCGGCTGCAGGGCCTGTGCCGGGCCTCTGACTCCCTCTTGGTTTCCACCTGGATGTGCTCAGCCGCCCGGAGTTTTCCTTCACCTCGTGACCAGACATCTCTTCTCCTCCTCGGTCCCCAAGCCATCAGCCACTTCAAGCCTGCTGCAGCTGGGCCTGGATGAAAACAACGGACTGAACGTGTATCGCTATTGAGCCCCAAGGTGGGCTTGGCAGCTGGCTCCTCCCCAGACCAAGTGCCTAAGCAGCTGCCTGCACTTTATTCGGACAGAGCATGCTCCTGTCCTCTGCTGTGCCCCACTCAGGAGCTGGAGGAATCTGGAAATGGGGGGAAAGGATGGGATGATTGGAAAGTCAGCCACACTCCGTGACCAAGAACCTGACCTCGGGCTGAAATGCATGGACTTACATGAGCTCGTGCATGAACTTGGCAGCACTGAGGAGGTGTGCCCATGGAGGGGCCTTGGGGACACTGGCACCTTTGGAAGGAAGGGTGGCATTCATAGAGCTGCCTTGGAGCCAAAGGAATCCCTCTGGAGTAGGGTTGGTCTCGTGGACCGTCAGGGCCGTGCTGGGGTTCACGCTCCAGGACAAAGCCTCCCAGTATGTTTGTGCCCTGGGACGTGGCTGTTCTGGGCCAGCATCTATCTAATACCTCAGCCTTGTGAGATCACATGCTTTCTTTTTCCTGCATTCTTGAATGTCTCCTTTCTGGAACATTCCAACTTTCCTTTTGACTGTCTCAGGACTGGGCTCAGCTGTGCAGAGCCCTGCTGGAAGTTGGAGGCTGGCCCTAGGACGTTTGGCCTGTTCCCCTCTGCCAGCGCCGTGCTTTCCTCAGGGCTGTTGGGAGTGTCCTCCCCTCCCGCCCCCTCCCCTGGCGCTCCTCCCAGCTAGTATCTCAGGTCTCATGCCCACTTTTCCAGGAAGCTGGAAGCCACAGGAAAGGATGGATGGCTTCTGGCCCTCATTGCAGTTTTTCTTTTCCTGGAACACCTTGGGTGCAGTCATAGCCCTGTTTCCATCTATCTTTTCCACCTGTGCCACCCCTGTCCGATCCCAGAGCTTGGCATGAGGGCTAGGCTAGTTCCTGTCATTGGCAGGGAGAGGTCTTGTACCAGGCAGAGCTGCCACCCTGCTGGCACAGCTTCCTGCAGACCCACTGCCCCCACCCATTACTGGGCCCCTATGGGGCTGCAGGGAATGTTCTCTGACATCTGTTCTGTTGTTTAAATGAAATGCCCCATTTTTTAATTTTGAAAGCTATGAGGTTACCCTTGCTTCCCCAACCCACAGAAACCAACTCTCACCATTCCACCACTCATTTGTTTGCCATAGAAAAAGACCGGATCCAGTGGCTTTTTTACCCCCTCCGTTATTTTCTAGGCAGCAGCCTGCTACACACAGAAGTCTTTTGTTGTTTGACGCAGTCTGTGTGCTTTGGGAATAGCTCATGTGGTACGACCAACTCTGGCGACAATCCTGTGTTTTTTTGCATCAATTAAATCTTTGCAGGTCCATTTTCTACAAGGCAGTCCTGTGGATGTCTCTCTTTGGAGGCTTTTGCCTCCTTCCTCTTGAGAAGAAGGGGGGAAGGGAAAATTAGGATTCATGGAACCCCTCCCTAAGTATCTGATTTAATCACCACAACAATGTAGATACTGATTTAGGTATTTTCTGCTCCATTTTTATGGGTGAGGGGAAATCCACGTGGGGTCAGAGACTGTTAAGTGCTTGGGTCCCTGGTAAAGTATAGAACCCCACACTCTGTCCCTGCTACCCCAGAGCACCCTCACCCCCGGGAAGAGATGGTTTTCTTTCTCCCTCCCCTTCCCCCTCCCTGCCCCCCCTGCCTACCAACTGGAGACCCACAGTGCCATTTCCCAAAGGTCAGTGGGCTTCTCCCTCATGTGGACAAATGTACGCTAAGCCTCCCTTCTTCCAAATCCTACGCTGGCATTTAGGTCATTTTTGTTTTTTGTTTTTCCCTGCTCCAGTGGTGTGAGCAGCCTACATAAGCTTGTAGTCTTGGATTTGTAGCAACAAAACTGCTAGGATAACCAACTGAGGTGGCCGTGTTTCATAGATTTGCATACAAAAACCAACACAAAGACAAAACCTGCAGAAGAACTCAGCCCAGTATCCATGCCACTTTCTACCAAGGAAGGAAGGAAACTACTATTTGTTGAAAACCTTCCATGGGCCAGGTGCTTTGCATGTGTGCTTGCTTGTACTCTTAACTTTATGAAGTTGGTATTCTCGTTTTGAATCACAGTAGCTCAGGGTCACATGACTAAGAGCCTGGGATTTGACTCCAGATCCATGTCTCTGAAAGTTGAGTTCTGTTGCTCTTGGTCCCCACGTGGGCATCTTCCATCCTCCTTCTGCCTCACAGCTCAGTCCTGGGCAGTTTACCTCACTCAAGCTGTGCCCTCCGTTGAAGATCTGGGTTCCAGGCAAGGAGTGAGCCAAGGTTTGCAAAGGAAGTTTTCAAAAGACTCCAAAATTGTCATGAGCCGGGCATGGTGACACACACCTGTGATCCCAGCACTCAGGAAGCTGAGGCAGAAGGATCATTGCGAGTTCAAAACCAGCCTGGGCTACAAAATGAGCTCAAGGCCAGTCCAGTCTGAACCGCATGGGGGGACCCTGTCTCAAAAAGACCAAAAAAAAAAAAAAAAAAAAAAAAAAAGCCAACAAAAAACAACAAAACAACAAAAAACCAACCAAAAAAATTGTCCCATCCTTCCTCATGGATTTTAGAGTTTAGCCGGAAGACTAAAAGCATAGACTTCTGCAGCTGAAAGGGGCTGTCTTATTCTTTTTGAGCTGCTATTAAAAACACCATGGAGGCAGGGGATGTGGCTCAGTGGTACAGAATGTGTTGGTATGTGTGAGGCCCTGGGTTTCATCCCCAGCACTGCCCTCCCCAAATACCATAAACCGGGTAGCTTTAAAACAGCGGAAATTTATTTCTCATTGTCTGGAGGCTGGAAGTCTAAGAACAAGGTGCTGGCATCTGGTATCTGGTGAGGGTCTGTTTTCTGGTTCATAGATAATACCTTCTAGCTGTGCCCTCACTTGGAAGAAGGGTAAAACTGTGATCTCTTCGGCCTATTATTAAGATTTTTTTGTGTGTGTGTGGTGCTGGGGATTGAACCCATGGCCTCATGCATGCTGGGCAAATGCTACAAGTGAGCTACATCTCCAGCCCCCTTGAGCTCCTTATCTGAGCAGTAATGCCATTTATGAGGGCCCATTACGTGATCGAATAATACTGTCACACTGGGGACGGGGTTTCAGCATATGAATTGGGGAGGGACACAAACGTTCAGTCTATAGCTGCAGCCATGCAGATCACTTACTCAATCCACTTGTGTTTAACAGTAGAGGCAATAGCCCAGTGAGGCCGCATGAGTTGCCCCAAGTTGCGCAGTCAGTGTGTGGGTCCAGAACCCAAGAGGCCTGACTGCCCAGCCTGGGGCCTGAGGAAAATTTTTCTTTTTAAAGGATATTTATTTCAAATAGGCCGTATGTTCACAGGGCTCAATATTCAAATGGTTTAAAAGTCACTCTGTCCATGAACCATCTGGTGCTTTTCCTTGAAGGTAACAAATATCATCAGTAGCTTCTGGAGATTTTATGCAAATATGAGAAAAAAAAGCCCTTTGTTTCTCTTCCCTTTTCCTGTTTGGGTGTGAGTCATTACTAATATGGCATCAGATGATTTCCCAAAATTCTGTATTTCTGTTGTGAGATGTTCACTATGCTTGTACAGTGTATGTGTGTGTGTGTGTGTGTGTGTGTGTATATGTGTGTGGTGGTGCTGGTGATGGAGCCCATGGCCTCACACATCTAGGTGAGTGCTCTGCCACCAAGCCACGTCCCCAACCATGACTGTTAAGGGACTAGTGTTTGGAATGATGACAGACCCCCAGCATCCCCTCACAAACATTCACACAACATAGATATATAGGGTGTCTTGGCTACTTTTGTTGCTGAGACTAAATATCCAAAATCCACAAGTTGGAGGATGAAAGGTTTATTTCAGCTCACAATTTATAGAGGTTTCAGCACATAGTTGGCTGGCTCTAAGGCAGGGTGGCTTGGCACAGGGGCATTGCAGAGGAGAAACAGTTCATGGCATGGCAGGCAGAAGGCAGCAAGCAGCAAGCACCAGGCCTGCCTTCTTTATCACATCCTTAATCCACATTCGTATACCCTAATCCAACCACCTTTAAAACTTCCCAATGAATGCATAAGGTTTGGGGGGGGACATCTAGATACAAGCCATAACAGTGTGTGGAGAAATAACCCCGGCCTTAGGATGCCCCACTTTGCTTTTGTTTCTGCCACCTACATGCTGTTACTTTTCTGTTCCCAAGCCTTCCCTTGTCAAACCCTGAATCCACCATCCAGGGATGAAACAGGTGGATGCCTCAGGTTTGTACCTGTGAGAAACCTGCCTAGAGTGTGGAGTTGGCCTTGCTGAGAGGAATGTTGGAGGGCCACAGTAAGCACGGGTGGGCAGAGGTGTGGAGAAGGCACTGCTGGTCTCACTTGCAGATTTTTTGGGGATGGGATCTTGGTTGAAAAATGAGGGGCCTGCTATCACTGTCGTGGTGAATTGGAAAGTCCCCTGTTTCTACTTTTCTCCTGAATCTCACCAATGGCCCCGGTCTGCCTCCCCCAGGGAATTTGCCCTGACCAGCAGGTATGTCACACAGAATGCTGAGTGAAGGGTGATGTAACGCTGTGTCATGGTGAGCAACCCTGACACAACGAAGACGAGCCTGCCCTTCTCCATTCACCTTAGTTTCAGAACATAAGGATGCACTCTTGGTTTTTCATTCCCAGAAGCTAGTGACTCACAAGGGTCAGCACACACAATGGCAGTGACTTTACTTCCAGTCAGTGGACCCATCGAATGGAGCCTTATCTCACGCAAGACACGTTGCTGCCATTCTGAAAGGAAGGTGCTGGTTCCCTGTGTCCTGAACCTGCCTCACAGCAGGGTAGAGCTGGGGAGGTGGCAGACATTCTAAGTGTGAGTCTTTATATCATTTAGAACCTGCCAACTTTTATCAGGTGGAAGGAGAAGAAAGGGCTGCATTCTAAGAGCGTACTTTTCAGAACAGGACACACAGTGTAGCTCTTAGCTCCTTCTTAGGTGGGGAAGTCTGATGCCGGGTGGAAACCCAGCTCTTGTTTTTTGTGTAACCTTACATTGTCCCTATCAAGCTCATCACTCTGATACTGTCCGTGCTTTAGAGGACCTAGGGGCCTTTCTTCTAAGAGAGTATAGGAGGCCCTTGGTGGCCCAGGCAGGCAACCCTTGCATCCTCCTCCCACTTTGGGAGTCCCACATGGTTTCTCTGGGAGGGTCCTCTGCCTGGAATGCTTGATGGCTCCTTCCTTCCCAGGGTCCTTGAGGCTAGTGGGATGTTGGGGGAACCCCAGCAACTCATACTATGTATCCCAGGCTGGCCTCAAAGTCACGGCAGTCCTGCAGCAGCCTCCCAAGTGCTGGGATTACACACCTGGCTACCCAGGGCTTCTTGAGATGGAATCCAGGGTGACAAGTTGCAGGGCTGCTGTGGACATGCTGGCACCACAGGCTCTCACACATAGCTCTGGGATGGAGCACCGGCCACAGATGTAGGCAAGGCTGGGACAAGATGGGCTAGGAGGAGCGATCCCCACCCATCTTCCTCCGTAGGAAGCTGATTAGTTTCCCCACTCCTTTGTTTTGCTCTTGAAAGAACCATATCACTTTCATTCATTCCATGTGTCAGTTGTTTCCCCCGAGCCCTGCCCTCTCATCAGACAGGAGGACTAGATCTGGATCATTGGGGCGATTGCTCCTGAGTGGGAGAACGCTACTGGGTTCATTAGTTCGGCTCATCAATAGCCCCCCCTGCAGCACCCTAACGACTGTGTGGGGAGAGTCTTGGGTCTGTGGGTGTGCAACATGGCCGGGTGGGGCTGGCCCAGCTCCAGGAAGCACAGATCCCACTCAGCTCTGGGAGGAAGCTTGCCAAGGGATCATGTTCCTCTTTAGGCTCAGCCACTCTCTAGTGACCAGTCTTCCTGTAAGGCTACTGCTGAGGCCTAGAGTTGGGAAGGGGCAAAGTTAGGAAATGGAGATAAGACTTTTTCTTACCTATTACATCAACTAGGAGTGCAAGTCTGGCTCTGAGTGTCTGTTTTGTGCCTCTGAAAGACCCGGGTTCAGTTTCTGGCTGCTATTTACCAGCAGAGAAGCTTTGTGATTCTTCTCTCCAGGCCTGCTTCCGCATTTGTACAATGAAGCTGAAAGCCTGTCATACTGAGAGGATTTGTGAAATGACCTGTGTCAGGTACCCTGGAGGAAGTGCTCCATAAACTGCTGAGTGCTGTGGAAATGCAAACTGTTACCCATCCTGTGCTTGAATGCTTCAAGGACAGGGTGCTCACTACAACACAAAGGAGCTGCTCATTCTGCTGTTGGGTAGCTCTGAGCCCCTTTTTAGGGAGTCTTCTTACTGCCCTGAA